TTCACCACATAGTTGTAGTCTAAGTATCTGAATTCACCACGTAGTTGTAGTCTAAGTATCTGAATTCACCACATAGTTGTAGTCTAAGTATCTGAATTCACCACATGGTTGTAGTCTAAGTATCTCAATTCACCACACAGTTGTAGTCTAAGTATCTGAATTCACCACATAGTTGTAGTCTAAGTATCTGAATTCACCACATAGTTGTAGTCTAAGTATCTGAATTCACCACGTAGTTGTAGTCTAAGTATCTGAATTCACCACATAGTTGTAGTCTAAGTATCTGAATTCACCACATGGTTGTAGTCTAAGTATCTGAATTCACCACATAGTTGTAGTCTAAGTATCTCAATTCACTACATATTTGTAGTCTAAGTATCTGAATTCACCACATAGTTGTAGTCTAAATATCTGAATTCACCACATGGTTGTAGTCTAAGTATCTGAATTCACCACATAGTTGTAGTCTAAGTATCTAAATTCACCACGTAGTTGTAGTCTAAGTATCTGAATTCACCACATAGTTTTAGTCTAAGTATCTGAATTCACCACATGGTTGTAGTCTAAGTATCTGAATTCACCACGTAGTTTTAGTCTAAGTATCTGAATTCACCACATATTTGTAGTCTAAGTATCTGAATTCACCACATATTTGTAGTCTAAGTTTCTCAATTCACCACATAGTTGTAGTCTAAGTATCTGAATTCACCACATAGTTTTAGTCTAAGTATCTGAATTCACCACATAGTTGTAGTCTAAGTATCTGAATTCACCACATAATTGTAGTCTAAGTATCTCAATTCACCACATAGTTGTAGTCTAAGTATCTCAATTCACCACATAGTTGTAGTCTAAGTATCTGAATTCACCACATGGTTGTAGTCTAAGTATCTTAATTCACCACATAGTTGTAGTCTAAGTATCTGAATTCACCACATAGTTTTAGTCTAAGTATCTGAATTCACCACATAGTTGTAGTCTAAGTATCTGAATTCACCACGTAGTTGTAGTCTAAGTATCTGAATTCACCACATGGTTGTAGTCTAAGTATCTGAATTCACCACATAGTTGTAGTCTAAGTATCTGAATTCACCACATAGTTTTAGTCTAAGTATCTGAATTCACCACGTAGTTGTAGTCTAAGTATCTGAATTCACCACATAGTTGTAGTCTAAGTATCTGAATTCACCACATATTTGTAGTCTAAGTATCTGAATTCACCACATAGTTGTAGTCTAAGTATCTGAATTCACCACGTAGTTGTAGTCTAAGTATCTGAATTCACCACATAGTTGTAGTCTAAGTATCTGAATTCACCACATGGTTGTAGTCTAAGTATCTGAATTCACCACATGGTTGTAGTCTAAGTATCTGAATTCACCACACAGTTGTAGTCTAAGTATCTGAATTCACCACATAGTTTTAGTCTAAGTATCCAAATTCACCACATAGTTTTAGTCTAAGTATCTGAATTCACCACATAGTTGTAGTCTAAGTATCTGAATTCACCACATAGTTGTAGTCTAAGTATCTGAATTCACCACATAGTTGTAGTCTAAGTATCTGAATTCACCACATAGTTGTAGTCTAAGTATCTGAATTCACCACATGGTTGTAGTCTAAGTATCTGAATTCACCACGTAGTTTTAGTCTAAGTATCTGAATTCACCACATATTTGTAGTCTAAGTATCTGAATTCACCACATATTTGTAGTCTAAGTTTCTCAATTCAACACATAGTTGTAGTCTAAGTATCTGAATTCACCACATAGTTTTAGTCTAAGTATCTGAATTCACCACATAGTTGTAGTCTAAGTATCTGAATTCACCACGTAGTTGTAGTCTAAGTATCTGAATTCACCACATGGTTGTAGTCTAAGTATCTGAATTCACCACATAGTTGTAGTCTAAGTATCTGAATTCACCACATAGTTGTAGTCTAAGTATCTGAATTCACCACATGGTTGTAGTCTAAGTATCTCAATTCACCACACAGTTGTAGTCTAAGTATCTCAATTCACCACACAGTTGTAGTCTAAGTATCTGAATTCACCACATAGTTGTAGTCTAAGTATCTGAATTCACCACATAGTTGTAGTCTAAGTATCTGAATTCACCACATGGTTGTAGTCTAAGTATCTGAATTCACCACACAGTTGTAGTCTAAGTATCTGAATTCACCACATAGTTGTAGTCTAAGTATCTGAATTCACCACATAGTTTTAGTCTAAGTATCTGAATTCACCACATGGTTGTAGTCTAAGTATCTGAATTCACCACAATTTTCTTCAGATATTATTTGCTCTACATTATTTAAGACATAGTGGTTTTAATAATTTGTTCAATTTAATTTTGGGCAAGTCATTTTCTCTAAGGCTATCTTGTTTGTGTACTGTTTTGCTAAGGCCATCTTGTTTGTATACAGTTTCTCTAAGGCTATCTTGTTTGTGTACAGTCTCTCTAAGGCCATCTTTTTTGTGTACAGTCTCTCTAAGGCCATCTTGTTTGTGTACTGTTTTGCTAAGGCCATCTTGTTTGTGTACAGTCTCTCTAAGGCCATCTTGTTTGTGTACTGTTTAAGGCCATCTTGTTTGTGTACAGTTTCTCTAAGGCCATCTTGTTTGTGTACAGTTTCTCTAAGGCCAACTTGTTTGTGTTTTCTGTGATGTTATTACTATAAAAATCAACCACCAAACTTCACCCACCCACTGCAATCGGCTCTTGTGCATGGGGAGGGTAAAGATATGGCCCACCCACTGCAATCTGCTCTTGTGCATGGGGAAGGTAAGGGTATGGATGATGAAACTTTCAAACTAATAAATAGAAACTATACATAATAATCAGATGACAATAGAAATATGTCTTTACCTTAACATAATGTTCTGTGCAGGTGTTGTTGGTACCATGATTTCCTAGAAAATCATGTGTAGAGGCCAAATTAGTAATGAATGTATGCAGCTCTTCTGAAACTAAGTTAAAAATCAAATCTTTTAACATATCTTTCAACAAAAATGATTCCTATAAACAAACTCTTTCTACCAATAAACTCTATGTGTGACTGATTAAATCAAATAGTCCATTTTTTCATCTCCAGTTTTTCATGTCATGTTTCTTTTATTTTTTCAAATTTAACTTACATCTGATGGTGTGTGCACCAGATGTAACTTTTTCACCTCATAGCCATGTTGTTGCAGTGTCATACAAAAGTTAAATCCTGCTTTTTATAATCTTATGTTTTTAATTTGAAAACTAATTTATAATGAGAACAGCTAAACATGAGATCAACCTATCATGAGACCAACATGTAATGAGACCAACATGTAATGAGACCAACATGTAATGAGACCAATATTTAATGAGACCAGCATTTAATAGACCAACTCCTCATGAGACCAAGATGTAATGAGACCAAGATGTAATGAGACCAACCCCTCATGAAACCAACATTTAATGAGACCAAGATGTAATTAGACCAAGATGTAATTAGACCAAGATGTAATTAGACCAAGATGTAATTAGACCAAGATGTAATTAGACCAAGATGTAATTAGACCAAGATGTAATTAGACCAAGATGTAATTAGACAAATTTGTAATGAGTCCAACCTTCAATGATTTTAAGAAAAGGAGCTGAAGTGATTCGCTTCAGGCCATCGAGGTTTGCAGTCTTAAGGCACTGGCAGTTTTTCATTAGTTCAGCTATTGATAAGTCTGTCAAATCTGAAATCATAGTCATGCACTCATTTGACAGGAATCAATTCTGCATTTGAATAATTATTATCTAATTCTAATAAATGTTAAATCCTCACTGCTTAGGCTGATTTAAAATGTTTTACAGACCAACATTTTATACATTTTTCTTGTTGCTCTATAGTAACCTACAGGTTGCATTACATGGAACAATAAAATATGTTTGATGTAACAATAAAATATGTTTGATGTAACAATAAAAAAAGTGAGAGGTCACAGTCAAATAAGTTACAGATGTAAGAAAACTATGTGTGATATGTCACAGTCAAATAAGTCACAGATGTAAGAAAACTATGTGTGAGATGTTACAGTCAAATAAGTCACAGATGTAAGAAAAATATGTGTGAGATGTTAGTCAAATAAATCAGATGTAAGAAAAATATGTGTGAGATGTTACAGTCAAATAAGTCAGATGTAAGAAAAATATGTGTGAGATGTTACAGTCAAATAAGTCACAGATGTAAGAAAAATATGTGTGAGATGTTAGTCAAATAAGTCACAGATGTAAGAAAAATATGTGTGAGATGTTACAGTCAAATAAGTCAGATGTAAGAAAAATATGTGTGAGATGTTACAGTCAAATAAGTCAGATGTAAGAAAAATATGTGTGAGATGTTACAGTCAAATAAGTCAGATGTAAGAAAAATATGTGTGAGATGTTACAGTCAAATAAGTCACAGATGTAAGAAAAATATGTGTGAGATGTTACAGTCAAATAAGTCAGATGTAAGAAAAATATGTGTGAGATGTTACAGTCAAATAAGTCACAGATGTAAGAAAAATATGTGTGAGATGTTACAGTCAAATAAGTCACAGATGTAAGAAAAATATGTGTGAGATGTTACAGTCAAATAAGTCACAGATGTAAGAAAAATATGTGTGAGATGTTACAGTCAAATAAGTCACAGATGTAAGAAAAATATGTGTGAGATGTTACAGTCAAATAAGTCAGATGTAAGAAAAATATGTGTGAGATGTTACAGTCAAATAAGTCACAGATGTAAGAAAAATATGTGTGAGATGTTACAGTCAAATAAGTCACAGATGTAAGAAAAATATGTGTGAGATGTTACAGTCAAATAAGTCAGATGTAAGAAAAATATGTGTGAGATGTTACAGTCAAATAAGTCACAGATGTAAGAAAAATATGTGTGAGATGTTACAGTCAAATAAGTCAGATGTAAGAAAACTATGTGTGAGATGTTACAGTCAAATAAGTCACAGATGTAAGAAAAATATGTGTGAGATGTTACAGTCAAATAAGTCACAGATGTAAGAAAAATGTGTGTGAGATGTTACAGTCAAATAAGTCACAGATGTAAGAAAAATGTGTGTGAGATGTTACAGTCAAATAAGTCACAGATGTAAGAAAAATGTAAGTTAGAGATGTTAGAATAAAATAATTCCGTGCACAGCACCTGTGTTCCAGCTAAGATCAACAACCTCTAGATGATGTAGATTTTCTGACAGTAAAATTACTGCAGCATCTAAAACAGCATCTGTATCAGTGATAAAGTACAATCAATTACAACACAAGAGATGAAGTTTATAACAGAACTTATGAAAACCTTGAACTAGAGCAAAACAGAAGAAATGTGCTAGTAAAACAGGCCATAGAAACACATTAGGTATTAATTTTACTTTTGTTTGCAACAATACAGAAATATATTCTTGTAATTTGTCTCACTCATGTTGCTGGAGAGGCTGAGTTCTCGGATGTGATGACAGTTTTTAAACAAGACATGTAAGGTTTTAGCTGATAGAGAACAATCTCGTAAAATCAACCTCTCTAAGTTGGTGCAGGTTTCAAGGACGTTGTTAAGTCCCTCATCATCCTCCATGTCCTCACACCAGGAGAGGTCAAGGTCTTTCAACTGAAACAAAAATACTTGGTTGGTCACAATTTGCTATGTAAATCTTTAACTGAAACAAAAATACTTGGGTAGGTCACAATTTCTTATGTAAATCTTTAACTGAAACAAAAATACTTGGGTAGGTCACAATTTCTTATGTAAATCTTTAACTGAAACAAAAATACTTGGGTAGGTCAGAATTTGTTATGCAAATCTTTAACTGAAACAAAAATACTTGGGTAGGTCACAATTTGTTATGTAAATCTTTAACTGAAACAAAAACACTTGGGTAGGTCACAATTTGTTATGTAAATCTTTAACTGAAACAAAAATACTTGGGTAGGTCACAATTTGTTATGTAAATCTTTAACTGAAACAAAAACACTTGGGTAGGTCACAATTTGTTATGTAAATCTTTAACTGAAACAAAAATACTTGGGTAGGTCACAATTTGCTATGTAAATCTTTAACTGAAACAAAAATACTTAGGTAGGTCAGAATTTGCTATGTAAATCTTTGTAAAACTTACAATTTTGATAAAGTTTTCTAAATTTTTACAACTAAACACAAGCCTCAAGTTGCAACAATAACCAAAAACTTTGGGTTTAAAATGAAAAAAAACAGTTTTTACTAATTTAGCTTCTGGTCCTGAGGCCACGGCATTTAGAGATAAACTTGTAATTTTATTTTCAGCCAATAAGAGACGTGTTAAGGGTCTTGTGTGAGCAAATGACATAATACTGTAATCATCATTAAATGCCAGCCCTAAGAAAAGAATAACATAATACTGTAATCATCATTAAATGCCAGCCCTAAGAAAAGAATAACATAATACTGTAATCATCATTAAATGCCAGCCCTAAGAAAAGAATAACATAATACTGTAATCATCATTAAATGCCAGCCCTAAGAAAAGAATAACATAATACTGTAATCATCATTAAATGCCAGCCCTAAGAAAAGAATAACATAATACTGTAATCATCATTAAATGCCAGCCCTAAGAGGAGAGTAACATAATACTGTAATCATCATTAAATGCCAGCCCTAAGAAAAGAATAACATAATACTGTAATCATCATTAAATGCCAGCCCTAAGAGGAGAGTAACATAATACTGTAATCATCATTAAATGCCAGCCCTAAGAAAAGAATAACATAATACTGTAATCATCATTAAATGCCAGCCCTAAGAGGAGAGTAACATAATACTGTAATCATCATTAAATGCCAGCCCTAAGAAAAGAATAACATAATACTGTAATCATCATTAAATGCCAGCCCTAAGAAAAGAATAACATAATACTGTAATCATCATTAAATGCCAGCCCTAAGAAAAGAATAACATAATACTGTAATCATCATTAAATGCCAGCCCTAAGAAAAGAATAACATAATACTGTAATCATCATTAAATGCCAGCCCTAAGAAGAGAATAACATAATACTGTAATCATCATTAAATGCCAGCCCTAAGAAGAGAATAACATAATACTGTAATCATCATTAAATGCCAGCCCTAAGAAAAGAATAACATAATACTGTAATCATCATTAAATGCAAGAAATAAGTAGAGTACCAATAAAATCTAAATCTGACAGCTGAACTAACCTGTGAAATCTAAATCTGACAGCTGAACTAACCTGTGAAATCTAAATCTGACAGCTGAACTAACCTGTGAAATCTAAATCTGACAGCTGAACTAATCTGTGAAATCTAAATCTGACAGCTGAACTAATCTGTGAAATCTAAATCTGACAGCTGAACTAACCTGTGAAATCTAAATCTGACAGCTGCCTGCATCCAACCAGACTTGTAATGCCAGCACTAGTGAGATGATCACAGCCTTCCAGTGAAATAGACACAACATGTGCACCATGTGCGCCAATGACATGCAGTGCACTGTCTGACACAAGATTGCACATGACACCACCTAACAAACTTAGAGCTGACACATTTGGATTGGCAGTAAGAAATTGGCTCAAACATTTCAGACCTAATTGTTCATCCTCAAACACAGAGCCATTGATGTAGAGACTGCTGATGTTAGGATGGTAGAAAGGCACATGCTGATGTTTGAGATGCTTCAAACATGCTGTAGGTTGCTCTCTTTTGTTGGCTATCAATGCCCCAACAAACCCTGCCTCAGACCTGATTTCTCTTCTCTCACCAAGTTTCTCTCCTGTGTCTGTTCCAGGTGTCTTGATGGACTGGTCAGTTGCCCCACCTTTGTGTGTCCAGCAAGCTCTGCTGTTGTGGAAAACTTGATGAGACACGTTGGAGTTTTGTAGAGGAAGATTTTTTGATACTTTTTCATCTACATAAAATGAGCTATTGCAGTTTGTCTCAGCATTCAATGCTGTAAGCTTCTCTGTAGTAACATCTGTCTCTGTATTTAGTGCTGTAAGCTTCTCTGTAGTAACATCTGTCTCTGTATTTAGTGCTGTAAGCTTCTCTGTAGTAACATCTGTCTCTGTACTTTGTGCTGTAAGCTTCTCTGTAGTAACATCTGTCTCTGTACTTAGTGCTGTAAGCTTCTCTGTAGTAACATTTGTCTCTGTACTTTGTGCTGTAAGCTTCTCTGTAGTATTTAATTTGAGAAGAAAATCTTGACTGATTTCAACATCTGTTGTTGTATAACCAGTGGTTGTGTCTGTGTGAACATTGTGGATCCAGTGTGTACAAATGTCATCAAATTCTTGCAGTGTTGCCATCAAAGACTTGCTTAAAGGTTTCTCCAGGAAGTTGAAGGAAACGAAAAACTCTACAACAGCTGGTAGACCAAGGCCACACAGGTACAACAAGGAAGTGCAGTCTACCTGCAACAGTAAAACATATTTTAGATCTGTTTAATGTCTACCTGCAACAGTAAAACATATTTTAGATCTGTTTAATGTCTAACTGCAACAGTAAAACATATTTTAGATCTGTTTAATGTCTACCTGCAACAGTAAAACATATTTTAGACCTGTTTAATGTCTACCTGCAACAGTAAAACATATTTTAGATCTGTTTAATGTCTACCTGCAACAGTAAAACATATTTTAGATCTGTTTAATGTCTACCTGCAACAGTAAAACATATTTTAGACCTGTTTAATGTCTACCTGCAACAGTAAAACATATTTTAGATCTGTTTAAGGTCTACCTGCAACAGTAAAACATATTTTAGACCTGTTTAATGTCTACCTGCAACAGTAAAACATATTTTAGATCTGTTTAATGTCTACCTGCAACAGTAAAACATATTTTAGATCTGTTTAATGTCTACCTGCAACAGTAAAACATATTTTAGATCTGTTTAATGTCTACCTGCAACAGTACAGCATAGTTTAGACCTGTTTAAGGTCTACCTGCAACAGTAAAACATATTTTAGACCTGTTTAAGGTCTACCTGCAAAAGTACAACATATTTTAGACTTGTTTAACTTTGTCTGATTTCATCAATTACGATAAGAGAATACTTTGTGAAAACGAGTCCTGCCTTTGTCCAAGAAATATTTAACGACTGAAGTGTAGGTCCACATAGTGTACATAAATGTCGGACACCAGTACTGGTGAAAGATTTGCAGCGGGAGACATTGACTGTTTGTAGTTTACAATCATACTCGTCTGCCATCTGTGGCAGCTGAAACACAAAGTTCAGACATGATGCAGATAAAAAAAAAGCAATGCTCATCTTATGATGTTAAACTACTTTCCAGATGTTAATAAATTTATTTATATGCCAGACAAAATGACAGTTAAATATCAGTCATTAGAACACAACTAGTTAAATGTCAGTCTCTAAAACACAACTAGTTAAATATCAGTCGTTAGAACACAACTAGTTAAATGTCAGTCTTTAGAACACAACTAGACTTTACTTTGAAACAGGCTTCTCTGGCCAGCTGTTTTGCTTCATTCAATAAAAAAACTTTATCTGTAATGCCACAATGCGCTATGTTCAGGATTTGAAGATTTACTGCATTCTTTAAGAGTGCCTGGTTTAAAGCGAAAAAGCAATATAATTATTTTCTATACATTTATGTCAAATTGTCTAAACATAAAGCAAATAAAATTATACAACTATAAAGTTAAACAAATTTGATGCCTTTAAACAAAGTAAAGATACATAGATGGCATTCAATAAATGAAAAAGAATTTGGTGCCATTAAACAAAGCAAAACAAATTTCATGTCATTATAATATAATAAAGATTAACTTGAATGTCACTGTCAGTAATTTGAGGACAGTCTTCAAGATCCACAGCTGACAGCTCCTGACACGGCAAACCACTGTGCACTTGAAAGAGGGTTATGTTTCCAAAGTTAAGGTTTGGATTTTCTGAAAGATCCAATGTGTGCATTTGCTGGCACCTGAGGAAAAAGATTCTAATGAAAATTAGTTACAATTTTATCAAAAAGGTGCTTTCATTAAACTTGTTATTTTCAACTTAATTCAATCAATATCATGGTATGTTTACTATCTCGTATATTCAGAGTATAGAGAAAGTATTGTAATCGTGCAAAAAAAATTCGAGATTTTTTACAATTCCCTGAGTCAGAAAAATATAATTTTGCAATCTTGTCCGTATGTCTGTGCGTGTGTGTGTGTGTGTCTGTAAACACGATAACTTGAGTACTGTTACAGCTAGGTTGATGAAATTTCATATATAGGTATTATATCAAATTTGTAGATCTGTATCAACTTTTCAGCTATTTCCAATAACCGGAAGTGGAACTTTTTATACTTTCAATTTTTCAAAAGCCTATAACTTGAGTACTATTTCAGATACATAAATGAAATTTCACATATAAGTAAAAGATCTAATTCTCTGCCTTCTATCAAATTTTGAGTAACTTCCGTTGACCGGAAATAGTAATTTAGGCTATTTCTGATTTCTCAAAAAAACGCATGTGAATTTATAAAGTACTAATAATATTCCGCACTATTATACACATTTTTATTTGGCGTACACTTGGTGTGCTATTCTTTTTTCTATGAGATTCTATTCTATTATAAAAAGTTTAAGTAATTAAAAATCTTTTTAAAATATTGTCAATATCCCGAGTTGCCATCCCCTGTAGTGTTATATAAGAATATTCGAGAAAGTTTAGGGGAGATCACTCCCGGTTTATTTATATGCTAGAAAAAAGATATATCTGAATATAAGAATACTATTCAAAAACATAAGAGGCTGATCAGTCTTTTATCAATGTGTATCGAGTCAATTATAATTCTTGATAAATTTCAAATTGAATTCAATTGGTCTAAATATGATGGACCTGTTATTAGAAAAAAGTAAAAACAAAACAGTATGAGTAAAGTTAAAATCTGATATTAGTAATGAAAGCAATGTAAAACTTGCCTGGATATAATGTTGTTTACACAGTCAGCTGCAACAAGAGGACAAGCTTTCAGGCTCAAATTCCTGGCACTGCTAGGTGCAAGAGCCTCAACAATTCTACACAAGACAAATACTTTTTAGTGGTAACCCACTGACAACAGTGTATCTTTGATTTTGTTGACGTTTGATACAAATGTTGTGACAGCAAAAACATTTCATCATAAATTACTTTAAATGTTACCAAAAGGTTGATGTCTTTTTTGTTAGTCCTGTACATGCAGTCACTTGGATTATTATAAAGAAGCCTTGAGCACTGGATTGTGAATGTGGGGTTTTAGACTTAAGGTTGAAGCCAAAATCTTTCATGGTGTGGTTGTGTAAGGGGGGAGGGGGAGGTGGCTGAGGAATTTGTTAGCTTTATTTAAAGTCTGTAGGCTACTCTAATGTTAGCTTTGGGCAACCAACTTTTTTTTTTTTTTTGCTTTACATCTATGAAATATTCTTTTTTTCTTCTAAATTATCTCTGTTAGTAATTATCTCTACTTCATCAGTTTATTTTTAGTTAGCAATATGCTTCCATAACCTTTGTCCAACCAAGAACAAACTACAAGGCAGCAGTTGTTTGATTTTGGCGTTGTCTCTCCTAGAATAGTGGCTGTCCCCAGCTAACGAGCCTCATCTGCCCGAGGATTCAAACTCGAGACTTTTCAGTTTAGCAACCATGAGCTTTAACGACTCAACCACACCGAACCCCTATATGCATATATATATGTATATATACATATATATGTGTGTGTAAGCTGATTTAAAATCCAACCTTACTTAGAAGTGACTTTGTGTCCATAGATTTGGACTAATTTATCAAGTATCTTCTTGCTTTCATCCCCCCAGGAACCTTGGTCTAAAAGCTGAATCAAACTCAGCCACTTGTATTCTTCATTTAAACAGCCGCAGTCTTCCTTCACAATGCTTTGTATTAAAGTTTGTTGTGTAAAGTACTTTAAAGTCAACATTCTAGATCCACATGGTAATTTGAAGATAAATTGTGAACAGAATTTCAATGCTTGAAAATATGATATCAAAGGTTGTAATTTCAATTATTGAAAATGTTTAAAAATTAACAATATTTTTTAAAATGTTAACATTTAATTTTTTTCCCAATAGAATAAGATAGGGCCTTTTGTATTCATTTTAGGACTGCTAAAAGTTAAAGATAAGAAATTGAAAGTAATTAATTACTTTATTTTTCATTAACCTCAGTCAGTATAAAGTATATGTATATAAACTTAACGTTAAGTTATAATTTTTTAAAATATATAACGCTACTCCAAAAAAGTAATAGATGAAAGTAAAGTAACAATAAACAGGCATTACCTAAGAAGTATCATAAATAATAGTCTCTGATATGAAAGTTCACCACTGGGATATTCATTGATGTAAAAAAATTCAATTTTTTTAAAGAGGACAACATGTATGGGTGACCTTTAATTCAGAATTTAGATGAAAATATTAGTCCATATTATTTTACTTCAATCAAAAACTTAATTTAAAATAAATGTTAAATAAAATATAGCTGTACAATCATAATTATTACGATAAAAATATATTTAATGCCTGTAGCCTAATTATCCTTTATTATATATTACTTTAATGGATTTTTAAAATATCTATTGAAAGAAACAAAAATGCCAACAGTATTATAATGGATTTTTAGAACATTACATAAACATTGGAGTTCACGTTTCCTGGTCTGAGTTCATTGGTGATTTTATCAAATATTCAAAGAAAAATTATTGATAATATTGCACCCCTGTCAAAAATGTATCATTAGTAAAAGTGATGAATATGAAAGCTTTAGGCCTAACAAATAAAAATATTTTTAAACAACCAGTAATATACCCAAGCTAGTCCAGATATAAGCCTACATTCAAACTATTTTACAAAAATAGTTTGAAAGTTAAATTTTTTAACTAGTTGTGCCCATTCAAACTGTTACACGTTGTGTTATTATTATAAGCTCAGAGGCGTAGCAACCCTTCCCGGCACTCGGGGACAAACTTTCAATTTGGCGCCCTCCTCGGGAGCAAATTTTCAATTTGCACCCCCCTCAAACTTTCGAATTGCACCCCCCCCCCCCTCAAACTGCAAAAATGCACCTAAAATGACATTTTAATTTGTTTTTACAACCCATTTTGGCGCCCCCTAAGGTCGGCACCCAGGGACATATGTCCCCCCTGTTCCCCATCGCTACGCCTCTGTATCAGCTCGATAACAATATCATCAATTTTAATATGGTCATGCTCATTATTCTCATTAATCCATTATCTAATAGACTAATATCTAGATCTCACTATCTAGTATCTAGATACTAGATCTAGATTCTATTTCTTTTTCTAGTCTACACTGTCATTGAGTACACTCTACTCTACACTCTACACTACACAATAGTTGAATAGTTCCAACCCTACACACACTACTACACGGGAACTCTGATGTGAAGTTAATCAAGTTAAGTTTTAGTTAAGTTAGTAAAAGTTAGTTAAGTGTCATTTTATAGGCTACATAAAATTATAATAAAATACATTAGGCCTATAGAATACTATACTATAGACTATAGACCAGTGGTTCCCAACCTTTTTCGAGTGGCGACCCCCTTTTATAAAAAGTAAGTGACCCGCGACCCCCATAGAATTAAAAAGCCGAAATTAGTATGGAAATTAATAAGCACTAAAATAAGATTTTCTAGTAGACTTTCAATACGAACTACTCTTGATAACAGTTTTAATAGCATGAGTAAAATTGCATACTATTCACTAAACCTCCGTGGTTAAGTTTTTAATTTTTAAAAAAAAATTTTAACGCCAACCTATGTCATTATAATTATCTTAATTTTGTTTTTAATCGAAGAATAGTGTTAAAAATATATTCTCGAAAAGTCAATCAATTTTACGTTTGGATATGAATGGTGAATACTACATCAAAATTAAGTCTGCAGTTTTTCATCTTACTCGGAATCATTCGGCAAATCAAAGAATTCATCTTGCAATTCATCGGGAATGCTGGCAACATCAAAGGAAGAAGAGAATGGGTAATACGTAAATCCAGATTCTTCTTTTTTCAGCTCAGAGAAATAGCGATGCAGTTCGTTTTCAAGAGATTCAAGATGCCCAGAAATCGCTTCTTTCAAAATTTTAATTATCTCACAATCAGATTCATCTACCACACCGCAGATTTTCTCAAATTTACTATATTTCCAAGATTTATTTTCTTTACCGATTTTGCAGCTTTGATAAAAATGCCCCGAGATTATCATGGAAAGTTATAATATTCGTTCATTTTCCCTGAAGCTTCAGGTTAGGCTTATCTTGATGTTCGAACACATCTACTAGGTATGATACTCTCTCCAACCACTCTATGTCGTTTTAAGTATACCAATAGTATTGTTTCCTTTGCACTTCCAAGAACAGTTTGATTTCAGATTTTAATTCAAAAACACAATTTACAACATTTCGTTTGACAGCCAACATACTGTAGTGTAGAAGAGCAGAACCTCGTGATCTATATTAATGTTTTTGCTCAGTTCTTTGAAGGCTCCAGATTTTATATAATTTACGACTTATACTAGCATGGACTCTTGATGTCGATTGGTTAGGGCAGTGGTTAAGGAGCTAAATCTTTTCTGTTTTCTGAAAGCCCGATTTTGAGCTAAACCTAGATGGTGCACCATCCGTACAAACCCCCACAGCCGTTCTAACCCATTTTAATCATCCAGTTTCAAAAAAGGTATATATTTTCTCCATGCTATCTTCACAAAAGAGTAACTCTTCTTTGCTATCATCCGCATGAATATAGACACAGACCAGCAACTGCGAACACGAACTCACGTCTGTTGATTTATCAACTTGAAAAGCAAACAATGGTGAAAGCTTAATTTAATAAAAAATGTGTTATTTAACATTTACATACATGCAGCGTTTGATGAGATTTTCTCCTATTGTTTTTTTTTTTTTTGCTTGGCATTTTCTATCGCGACTTCATTTGATTCTTGCACTAATGCTGGTGAAAACTTCCTGTTCGATCAAGTCTCTGGCGTTTGCAACTAGTTTCTTACCTACGAAAGAACTCCATATATTTTTTGATGTGTTCCAAATGACTCGTCTCAAATGGCGTTTTAGATTTCATAGATTCGTGACTGAGAACAACTTTGTACAGTGCGCTTGTTTCTTCTCTATTACATTTTTACATATTTACATGTTTTGTTTCAAATTACTAAGGTTTAGTATACCAGTTGGCGACCCCCCAGAAAGACCTTCGCGACCCCCAGGGGGGTCGCGACCCCCAGGTTGGGAACCCGTGCTATAGACTATACTATAGAGTCTATAGTTTTAGGCCCTATAGATATATTGTGTTGTTGAGAGAGAGATAGATTCTAGATTCTAGATCAATACCTATCTAGAATTCAGTGGGTGAAATTAATAATAATCTTAAAAATAGATCAAATATTTCAAATTTGAGATAAACAAATTGAAAATGTTTATGTCATATAGATCTAGATCTAGTAACATGTTTTGTGTTGCTACGTCAAATAGTCAAATAGAGTTGTGGTCCTTGAACTGAGTTTACACTTACGACATGAAGATTTTATTTCTTTCCGTATCTAGTGAAGAGAAAACGCTCCAATTAAGAAAATATACAAGTCATGTTCTGTGGGGAAAATGTTTCCATATAAAATTAACTTGTTGCGATTTTCTTAGACATTGTATAGATTTTATCACCCCCCCCCCCTCCAACTCACTTATTGCTAAGTTTTTTGTTCCACGGACATGTATGGTAGACATGTTACGAGTGTAAATCTGAATATATATGATAAAATTTTACGTAAATAAAATTTTACGGTAACAAAATTTTAAATGCTCCTTTTAAAAAACAAAAAAATAGTGTGTGCACAGTTTCAGCTAATGACATTTAGGGGCAACGACACATATAAAAATTCATAAAATTAACTTCCAAAAACAATGTTTTATCCATTTGAAGTATACAATAGTAGAGGAGAGAGATGAAACAATTGTTTAAAAAATGCAAAATTGTTGGAGAGGGTGTAGCAGGAGTTTCTGCCCCTAAGAAAGTCTACCGCCCCCCCCCCCCCCCGAAAGACATGGAATTTATATAGTGACGCCACATGGTAGCATAATGTACAGTGAATGAACATTTATATATATATATATATATATATATATATATATATATATATATATATATATATATATATATATATATATATATTCTAATCTTATAATGACACTGTAGCGACATTGCGACAATACCAAACTGCCTGCATGTCAAAAAAGTAATTAAATTCTCATGCGAGCCCTAAAGTGACAAACTAAGGCAGACATTTTCAGCTTTGTTTTAAACGCATGTAAGGCCTACACATTTTCTCGTTTTCTTGTATAGCTAGTTTTTAAACTAAAAAAGTGGGCCTATAGTAACAAAAAAAATAATTTCTTAAATTGTATTGAAAAATTAAATCCGATGATTATCCATATATAGCCGTTTTAAAATTTTTATAATTGAACTTTTAAAACTACTTTGGAATACATTTGCTTGAGCATTTAAAATTACCCCTATAGTCATCCTTGCGCAAAATGCCATCATCTAATAACCGCTCGACCCCCTCCAAATAACATCATTATACCTATCTCCCCCACACCACACTAATAACAGTCCGAACCTTTTCTCCATAACCAACTTCCGAGCCCCAACACCCATCTTGGAACGGAATTTTAAAGGGGTTAGATATGACAAATAGGCAAAATTCAGCCCCCGCCCATTTGCGCATCAACTCTTTCCTGTGCCCGCGCAAAATATAAATTGTGCGCCACCCCCCCCCCCCCCCATTTATATACATACGTATAGTTTGCGTCCCATTAAAGCATTATTTTGATGAAGAAAACAGTTAATTTAAATAAGTCTGTAAGGCCAATAAGAAGCAGTCTCAGAGTTTCTTCCAGGCATCTCTTCGGGGGGGGGGGGATATCCCCCCCCCCGAACTAGATGGAATTTATATAGTAAACATACACTTTTACTAGTGTCCGCCGCCCCCCCCCCCCCCGAAAAATGTTGACCGCCCCCCCCCCCGAAAAATGTTGACCCCCCCCCCCCCTCCCCGGAGAAAAAAGTCTGGAAGAAACACTGAGCAGTCTATTTTCTTAACTTCGACAGTTCATAGCTTAATTAATAATTTATCTTTGAATGAACTTTGACTTTTTTTCAACCAGTGTTTCTTCCAGACTTTTTTCTCCGGGAGGGGAGCAGTGTTTCTTCCAGACTTTTTTCTCCGGGGGGGCACTTGAAATTTTCGGGGGGGGGGGGGGGCGGACACTGTTAAAAGTATATATTTTCTATATAAATTATATAAATTTCATTTCGTTCGGCGGGGGGGGGGGGGGGGGGCAGAATTTTTTTTTCGGGAAGGCAAAGCCCCCCCCCCCCACCCCGAAAAGATGCCTGGAAGAAACTCTGTTTTCAACCTGGGCAGACGCGTCACACATCATCCCATAGCTACGTCTCTGTTATAAAGCCATACCTTCGTTTCAGTGTTGATGCAAAGTTTAATGTTACAATCGCATTTTTAAGGGGTCATTCATATATATTACTTCAGGGGTCGTCCATAAATGACGTCACACTCACAGGGGGGAGGGTTGTAATTTTGTGACGGTGTGTGACGTGGGGGAGGGGGTGTTCAGATGGTGCGACGTCACACTTTTGCATTATAAAAAAGCAATGTTAGAAAACTAATTTTAGACGTTATTTCGCGTTTTAGAAAATTGCAAATTAAAATACCCTATTTTGACAGAGTTCAGACAAGATTTTGGAAAAATATCCATGTTTTAAGAAAAATTCAACTGCAATTTTCAGGGGGAAGGGGTTGTAGGCTGAGGCGTGACGTCAATTTAGGGGGGGTGTGGGGAAATTGCGAGACGCGAAAAGCGAAATGGCGAGGCGGGAAAATGCGAGAAGGTAATGCGAGACATACCTGCGGAATTAAAGGTAAATAGCGAGACACTTTTTGCGAAAAAAGTTTTTTTCTTTTTTTTCCATCTTTATTTATTTAAATTCATTTTTTTTTTGTTTTAAAATAAACAAGCATTTAGCCATACACTTTAACACGAGTGTTGTATGTTGTTATTTTTTATCTAGATACTAAGAAGATAGATAGATCTATATCTAGATCTATCTATTTAAAAATCCTAACATCGTTGCTGTGCTACTGTCATCGCCCGATCTTGTTAGCGAGAGGAAAATCCCGTCTCAGTCGGCATTAATTTAAAAATCTAGCCCGCTCATGTTTATACATGTTAATAGTGTGACTTCACATCTAACCCCCCCCCCCTCCTCCCCCTTATCTCACATCGTCATAAAATTACAGACCCCCCCCCCCCACGAGTGTGACGTCATTTATGGAAGACCCCCAAATAACACCACCACCAAAACGAAAAAAATCAGATAAGTTCAACTTGGTTTTAAAAATATTTGAAGTAGGCCCATAGCTTACGATATAGCACGAGCAACTGATAATATCGGTGACGTCACTTTATTTTTTCCCCAAACAGTAAGTAAGAGAAAAAAAAACTGGGGGCATTGAGAGTTCATAACAGCTTAGGAATAAGCAACACATAAGGGAGGGTTAATCTAGTCCTCACCTTCACTTATGGCAGTAATCGCATACTTATTTTGATGTTATTTTTTTCTGAATTATTTATGGAAAAGTCACAACCGTGATATAAAATCTAATATAAATTAGTGTAAAGGAACATTGGAAGAGAAAACACACAGTAAGTAGTTCTTACCTCCAGAATAGTTGTATCCAAATGATGTAGGCATTTCCTTGTGCTTAGATTTATATGGTAAAAAAAGCTAGAAAAAAATCGTAGGCGGCGGCTATAATACAAAATTTCTATGCAACAATAGAAAATATGTTTGCGGCGGCAGCGGATCAGGGCACGGCGATCTTCAAAGACGGTAAATCAGGCGTCCTCGGCGTTCCACACAAAAGACAGAAGTTGATCTATCGTCGGCGGTATTTCCGTCGGTTTCGAACAAGGTGGTATTCTAAGTCGACACAAAAGATGGGGGGAGTTGACAAATCATCAGTATGTCTAGCGACGGAAAAATCGGAAGTTTTAACAATGTAAACGAAACGTCTTTGAAGTCTGGACCAAATACCACTGAAAATCGGGTGCGGTAAATTTTTCGCAGAAATCTTCACATTTCAACACCACCCAGCGTAAGTATCGGCTTGTGGTAAAATGCGAGACAAAAAAGTCACGTGATCGACCGTTTTCGCGCCCTTCTCGCATTTTCCCGCCTCGCCATTTCGCTTTTCGCGTCTCGCAATTTCCCCACACCCAATTTAGGGTGGTGGGTCTGGCTTTTTGTGACGATGTGTGAGGAGAGGGGGGGAGGTAAAAATTGTCAAAAAAGCGTGACGTCATTTATGGATGACTCCTCACGCTTTTTGAACGATTTTTACTTTGAGTATATACATCTAATCAATTTCTGTAACAATTACAAAACCAGTCTTTAAAAAAAAAAAACATGACCCCCCCCCCTTACGTCACATATCGTCACAAAAGTTCCTGAACGCACATCCAGGATTGTGGTGTCGTTTATGAACGACCCCTAACTCAACAATAAGAACTAACACTTTTAAAAATCCAAGTTTAGTGGGATCTTTCTACAATAAAAATGCTGATATGGAAATGTTAATAATTTTGTTAGATAAGTCAGGTATGTGGTGTGAGTGCAGCATAAAGAGAGCTCATTTTGTTTTGAATGCAAAAAAAAAAGTTATTTATGGCCATGGGTTTCCCCCATTCTTATGTGTTATTATTAGATCTAGAAGCAATAATAATATTTACATTTAGTGATTTACTTAGGCCCCACGTCATATATTCACATTATAATTAATACGGTTTTATGCTATGAAACACCATATGCCACATATTAAAGTGTATAAACTTTTGGTAAAAATTTTTTTAAACTTTAAACAAACTGATGGATGATGACTTCGAGTACAAGCCGGTAACAACTACAAGCCTAGGCAGCAGATGATTGATGAAAACACCACACTGACCAAACAGCCATTAAACATTATATTTATTATGATTATGGAGTTTTCTGTTCATGAGAATATCAGAAAACAATGGGAAATGTTTAATGTTTAAAAATAATTTATTATTAGGCCTAATAGGCCTATTTAGTATTTAGTATTATTTAGGTTAGGCCTATCACTTTACTAATTAATTTAAATTTAGGTCTTAGCCATAATAATATTAGAATTAGATGATTAGATCATTTAGAGGGCCTTGTTTAGGCCTAATGTCCTAACTGTAGTGTCTAACACTAGTCTAACAGTTAGGTACTAGATCTAACACTTTTAAATTAAAAATTTGATTAGGCTATAATTTAGGGTGTGGGGAAATTGCGAGACGCGAAAAGCGAAATGGCGAGACGGGAAAATGCGAGAAGGGCGCGAAAACGGTCGGTCACGTGACTTTTTTGTCTCGCATTTTACCACAAGCCGATACTTACGCTGGGTGGTGTTGAATTGCGAAGATTTCTGCGAAAAATTTACCGCACCCGATTTTCAGTGGTATTTGGTCCAGACTTCAAAGACGTTTCGTTTACATTGTTAAAACTTCCGATTTTTCCGTCGCTAGACATACTGATGATTTGTCAACTCCCCCCATCTTTTGTGTCGACTTAGATAACCACCTTGTTCGAAACCGACGGAAATACCGCCGACGATAGATCAACTTCTGTCTTTTGTGTGGAACGCCGAGGCCGCCTGATTTACCGTCTTTGAAGATCGCCGTGCCCGGATCCGCTGCCGCCGCAAACATATTTTCTATTGTTGCATAGAAATTTTGTATTATAGCCGCCGCCTACGATTTTTTCTAGCTTTTTTTAACCATATAAATCTAAGCACAAGGAAATGCCTACATCATTTGGATACAACAAAATAAAGTGACGTCACCGATATTATCAGTTGCTCGTGCTATATCGTAAGCTATGGGCCTACTTCAAATATTTTTAAAACCAAGTTGAACTTATCTGAATTTTTTGGTTTTGGTGGCGGTGTTATTTGGGGTCTCCCATAAATGACGTCACACTCGTATGGGGGGGGGGGGGGGGGGTCTGTAATTTTATGACGATGTGTGATGAGGGGGAGGAGGGGGGGGGTTAGATGTGAAGTCACACTATAAAAAAGCAATGTTAGAAAAAGAATTTTAGACGTTTTTTCGCGTTTTAGAAAACTGTTTTAATACATTGTAATAGGAATTGATTAAAATACTCTATTTTGACCGAAATTAGACAAGATTTTGGGAAAATATCGATGTTTAAAAAAAAACTCAACTGCTGGTGACAACAATGAGCAAGACATTGCCAAAATTACAGAAATGATAAAAAATGCAAATTATAAAAAACGGAAAACAGATGTTGAGCGTGCAGATGATGATGATGAGAACATGGATGCCAGTGTTGTTTGAGGGATGAACGAGGAGGTCAACTGTGATGAGAATGTGAAATGTTGTGAATGTGGATTGGAAGAAGTAGCAAAAGAAAAATGTATAAATGGGAGTCTAATGAACTGGGTTGGGTGTACTATGTGTGAAAGATGGTGTCACGAGGTGTGTTTGAGGACTGTTTCAGAAGATTTTGTTTGTAAATTTTGTTTGTAATTAAAATTACTTAATAAAAAAATAAATTGCACTTTTTAGAATTGTTTATACTACTACACTTTTTGCAAGTACAAAAATCCATAAATAGATGTTGCAAAACATCTCTCCTGCTGACAAGATTATACCAATTCACAATGACACAGCTCACGTTTGTATAAACATGAGCGGGCTTGATTTTTAAATTAATGCCGACTGAGACGGGATTTTCCTCTCGCTAACAAGAGCGGGCGATGACAGTAGCACAGCAACGATGTTAGGATTTTTAAATAGATAGATCTAGATATAGATCTATCTATCTTCTTAGTATCTAGATAAAAAATAACAACATACAACACTCGTGTTAAAGGGTATGGTTAAATGCTTGTTTATTTTAAAACAAACAAAAAATAATTTAAATAAAGATGGAAAAAAAAAGGAAAAAACTTTTTTCGCAAAAAGTGTCTCGCTATTTACCCTTAATTCCGCAGGTATGTCTCGCATTACCTTTTCGCATTTTCCCGCCTCGCCATTTCGCTTTTCGCGTCTCGCAATTTCCCCACACCCTATAATTTATATAGGCCTAAATACTACTAAATAGTACTAAATACTCCTAATACTTAATCTTATCTTAATGATCTTAATGTCTTATAATATTTTTACATTATAGAGAGACATTACATATTAATTAGTATTATTAGCATTAGGGTTAAATTTAAATAGGCTAATTAATAATTTTCTAACATGACCAGTATTTCCTAACAACTTTGTCTCATACAGTTCTAATTAATTGTGAGGAAGGTCCTTTTTTCTTGTATTCAGAGAAAAACATTCTATCTTGTTAGATGTTAGAATAAGGCCTATATTTTATAATTTATAAGCCTCAATTTTTAAAAGTATCGGCTGAGAATGTTTTTTTTTTTTACGCAGTGAACAGAATGCATTTAAAAATCAACTTTTGATGAAGGATACTCCAGATATTTCTGATTTGACATCTGGTTTAAGAAGGAAGGCCAATGGTAGCCGTTATTATGTTGGTGGTGTTGATATATCTTTTGTAAAGTCAAGTAAAGAGGATGCCTGTGCCTGCCTCTGTGTTTTACAAATGCCAGATTTAGAGGTTATCGTCTTAAACTAATAGGCCTACTCTAATTACATCATTTAATTTTTGCTGTACTATATTTTACACAGGTTGTTTAGCAGGCTTTAACATTTACACTTTATCTTAAAATCATATTGTAGATGGTGTATGAAAAGATGGAGATGGTAAAAATGACCCAACCCTACATTCCTGGATTTTTAGCTTTTCGTGAAGTACCAGCACTTTTAAAATTGTACAGGGACCTTGAGGCTAATGCACCCGAGTATAAGCCAGATGTAAGAAATTCATATTATTTCTATTTAGAGTTGTTTATAAGTGAAGTCACACTCTTGGGAAGCATTGGAGTCAGAATTTAAATAAAGCAGGAGTCTTCTTCTTCTTCTTAATCCTCATCACTCCCTGTGGAGTATAGGGCAGCAACAAATCTCTGCCATTCCACTCTGTCCTGGGCGAGCCACTTTAGTTCATGCCAGGTCTTGCCAGTAGCCTGTACTTCTTCTTCAATCTCTCTCCTCCATGTTCCCAGTGGTCTTCCTCTCTTTCTCTTTCCAGGTGGGTTCCACTTCAGCGCCATGTTGGGGAGTCTTCTTTTGCTCATGCGTAGGACATGGCCCAGCCATCTCCATCTCCTCATTCGAACTTCTGAAACAATGTCGTTTAGTCCAGTCCTTCGCCATATTTCCTTGTTTGGGACTTTGTAGTCCCACTTTATTCTGAGAATACATTGGAGGGATCTTCTTTCAAATCCTCTGAGTCGGCTGTCTCCATTCTTGTTTAGTTTCCATGACTCTGCAGCATAGAGGAGTACAGAACGTACATTAGACTTGTAGATCCTTATTTTAGTTCTCTGCTGCAGTGAGGATGATTTCCAGATCTTAGCGAGTCTGTGGAAAGCCTGTGCTGCATTGCTATTCTGGTGGCCATTTCTTTCTCCATGCTGCCATTTACTGATATATAGCTGCCGAGGTACTTAAAGTCTTCGACCTCTTCTAGCTCCACTCCATTCGCAAAGGTCTTGAGAGCACTTTTGGTTTCTATTTTCATTAGCTTGGTTTTTCCGGAGTTTATCTTTAGCCCAACCCTTTTAGCAATTTGCTCTATTTTTGTGGTTTTTGCATGGATGTCTTTTTGGGCATGTGAGAGTAAAGCCAAGTCATCAGCAAAGTCACAGTCCTCTAGGTGGTTGGTAAGTTCCCAAACAATTCCTCTTGGCTTATCCTCAGTGGCTCTTTTCATAATGTCTATAACCACCTAAAAGATGACAGGTGAGATGACACAGCCATGTCTGACTCCTGTTTTTACCTTGAACCATTCACAACATTGGTTGTCATAGTACATGTCCTTAAGTATGTTTATGACTTTTCCTGGAAAGCCATATAGCTCTAGTATCTTCCGTAATGATGGATGGTGGATGCTATCAAATGCTTTCTCGAAATCTATGTTCATCACGAAGGATCCCATCAATTCCTTTCCTCATTCTTTGTAATAAGACTCTGCGGAAGATTTTTCCTGGTACTGACAGAAGATTAATGCCTCTCCAGTTCTCACAAACATTAAGGTCGCCCTTTTTGAGTAATTTGATAATGATTCCCCGTTTCCAAGAATCTGGGACTTTTTCTTCATTCCATACTTTATTGAAGATCCCTGATAGAGTTTCTGCACCTATTTTTGGGTCTGCCTTTAGCATCTCCGCAGTGATTCTGTCCTCTCCTGGAGCCTTATTGCTTTTTGTTTTTTGGATAGCTTCTATTATTTCTTGTTCTAGGATGGGTCCTCTATAAATTATGTCAGTGAAGTCAGCAGTTTCTTCTGGATCTGGTCTGTTTAGGGTCTCTTCAAAGTATTCAGCCAATCTTTTCAATTGATGTTTCTCCGTTGTGAGAATTTTCCCATTTTTGTCCTTGATAGTAGATGATCTATTTGCTATTCCGTCTGTTAGAGTCCTGATAATCTTGTAGACTGTTCTGCTATCTCCCTTATCAGCTGCAGCCTGTGCTTCTGTGACCATTGTGTCTACATAGTTCCTTTTATCCTTCCTAGCATTCCTTTTTACCTCTTTTTGGAGTCTTCTATATTCTTCATCATTCCATACCCTGCTTTCCATGGTTCCAGATAGTGTTTTAATTTTGGCTTTTCAATGAGATTCCAAGTATCGTTTGAGATCCATTCCTTCCTTTGTTTCTTCCTGTGTCCTAGTATGCATTGGCTTGTTTTCATGTATACATCCAGGATCTTCTCGCATTGAGTATTGGTGTCCTCTTCTGATAGGTTCTCAATTTTAGTTCAATTGCGAAGTTTGCCTTAATGGTGGGATCTTTTAGTTTAACTGAGTCAAATAGCTGGTGGTTTACTTTCCTGTCGACTCTCCTAAGCTTGAGTTGTAGCTTGCACAAAAATAGATTATGGTCGCTACCTACGTCAGCTCCTCTTATTGCCTTTACATCCCTCATGGATCTTCTCCACTTTTTGTTTATAGCAATGTGATCGATTTGATTGCTGGATCGCTTATCTGGGGATATCCATGTGGATTTATGTATTTCTTTGTGCTGGAATAAGCTGCCACCTATAACTAGGCCATTTTCTGAGCAAATCTCTTTGAATCTTTGACCGTTGTTGTTTACCTCTCTTAGCCCCTCTTTAGCCATGCAGAGTTCGTATCCTTGGTTGCTGGACCCTATCTTTGCGTTTATGTCTCCCATGACTATTAGAATGTCATGTTGTGGAGTCCTGTCAATTTGATCTTGTAGAGTGTAGTAGAAAGTGTCTTTGTCTTCATCTTTTGTTTGTTCAGTTGGGGTGTAGCACTGTATTATGGTAACCTTTACATGTCTTGAGTAGAATCTGGCTCTAAGAATGCGAGAATTGATTGGTTCCCACCCTATTAGACTTTTCCTTGATATTTTATCCATGATAATGCCAACTCCTTCCTGGTGTTGGTTACCAGATCTCCCAGAATAGATTATAGTTTCTCCTGATCCGAGTGTAGTCAGGCCTGAGTCTGTCCATCTCATTTCGCTAATACCCAGGATGTTTTATAAGTATGTATATAGGCATGTGTATATGTATTCACATATATATTCTTTTTTAATGTATTTAATTTTTTTACCTATTTCCCCCCCCCCCCCCCCCCCCCCCCTCCCCCCATACATTACGAATCTCAACCAAACCGTTTACATCAGGCATATTTTGCAACGTTGAGTTAATGTAACTTCCCCCACTCACCCCCTCCACCCTTGTCGGGATTTGTCAAATTTGCTCTTAAAAAACTATTTAACACTCTAATTAATCACTTAATTAAATGGAATTATCACTTTTCTGTATATATTTTGCTATTTTTTGCCTTGGTGTCACAAACACACCCCCCCCCCCCCCCCCCTAAATGGTGTCACCTGGTGCGGTCCGCACCCCACGCCCCCCCCCCTCGCAACGCCTCTGTTGTTACTAGTATTAGACTGCCTTTCATTTAAACATTGTGTAAGTTACGATAACCAAACTTAATAAGTAATAGCTTTATATCTTTATACTTTGTTCTCAGCAGATAAAGGTAGGTAAGCTGGTCACTGCTTTGTAAGAAAATAAATTTAGAATTGTTCTAAATGAAACTATCATCACAAGGCTATAAAGTATAGTAGTAGGCCTATAAAGTTTTAAGAGCATATATATATATATATATATATATATATATATATATATATATATATATATATATATATATATATATATATATATATATATATCACTGCTTTGTAAGAAAATAAATTTAGAATTGTTCTAAATGAAACTATCATCACAAGGCTATAAAGTATAGTAGTAGGCCTATAAAGTTTTAAGAGCATATATATATATATATATATATATATATATATATATATATATATATATATATATATATATATCACTGCTTTGTAAGAAAATAAATTTAGAATTGTTCTAAATGAAACTATCATCACAAGGCTATAAAGTATAGTAGTAGGCCTATAAAGTTTTAAGAGCATATATTTTGTAATATCATTAAATATTCGCAATGTTTTAGCATAGATTAGAAAATGCAGACCACTCACCAACTACTGTGTTTTTTATTCCAGGTAATTTTGGTTGATGGGAATGGTACTTTGCATCCAAAAGGTTTGTGTGACTCATAATTTACTTGGACATAAGAATAAAATACCTAAAAATCCCCACCCCCAACAGTTAATTAAAGGATCTTCACACTTCCACTTAGGAGCAGTGTTTCTTCCAGAATTTTTTCTCCGGGGGCTGTCAACATTTTCTGGTGGGGTGGACTCTGGTAAAAGTATATATTTTCTATATAAATTCCATATCGTTCGGGGGGGGGGGGGGGGGGGGGGGCGGTAGACTTTCTCAAAAAGATGCCTGGAAGAAACTCTGCTTAGGAGTGTCCCATCAATTAAGTACCTATATGATTGAAAGTGATTTTATTCACTATTTTAAAATAAAATGCTGTATGCTCTGTATAAATTCAATCACCTACGAGCTTATCTGTCCTTGTTTGATAATCTCTTAGGTTTTGGCCTTGCTTGTCAGCTGGGTGTAATCCTAGGATTACCTACCATTGGGATAGCTAAAACTCTTATCTCAGCACAAGGGGTAGTTGATGATCAGCAACACAAAATAAAGGTTAACATAATTCTTGTTATTGGGATTTTAGTATTAGTTGTAGTTGTCTAAAGTTAATTAATTGTCCTTATTCATCAATAAACAAAGCAATGATAAATACATTCTTGTCTAGAAACAAAACTTGTACCAGGCTGGTGACTCATTTGATCTTGTCTCTGATACTGGGGAAGTTTTGGGACAGGTACTGTAAAATTTAACTTTGTGATGAGCTCAGTTGTAACTTTACTTTAAGCTATGTTTGTTAATAAAAAATGGAGGTGTATTTAATTTTTCACATTATATGTAATGTGAATTTTTCAGTGTGTTCGTGTTCATGATAAAGCACCAAACCCTGTTTATATTTCTGTTGGGCATATGATTAGTCTGAAATCCTCTGTATGGATAGCACTAGAGTGCAGTAAATATAGAACTCCTGAGCCTATTAGACGAGTAAGTGTTGAAAAATGTAGGCCTTCTAATATGACAATACAAAATAACTGAATTCATTAAATTAACTTTCTTGAAAACAGTTGCATGATTTTGATACGTCAATGCTCCCCTTTTAAAACGCTAACTTTTTACTTTTATTTGAAGTAATGCCAGCATGTTTTATTTGCAGGCTGATTTAGACTCAAGAGAATATCTGCGCTGTGAAAAAAAAGAACCTTATGAGATGATTGCATAACTTTTATGACAAACCTATATGAATTTGACCAGAAGATAAGTTGGCTGCACTTGCAAGCATAATTATTTTTTAAAAAGGTGCTTACATTGTATGCAGTCTCAATAGAGTAGCCGCACTCACTGCACCTACATACCAACACCATCCAGTGGAGTATGCAGATTTTTCAGTTTCTAAACAGAAAATCAACCAATGAAATAATTTAATTAAAGACTTAAATTCTGCAAACTCCCTCTATTGGTTGAAGTTTTAGTGAATACATCTAGCTTGCAGCATAATTAATTATGTAGATTTGTATTTGCCTTGTCATCTACCTCCTAGATGGACTTTGTGATACACTTCACAAAATTGATCACTTATATTGTTATTCACACTAATATATCTTGTAATGTACCAGTTGTAAGCTAATAAAAATAATCATCAGTTTAGATCTGATAACCTGCTCTTTTGAAATTCAGATGAAACTGTAGTTACTTGTTTTAGTTTTTTTAAGATCTATTATTTTTTATTACACATGTATTTTGTCGTGAAAGCACTTTTAATAATCGATGGGATGGTAAGGTGGTAGAGCGCTTGGCTGCTAATGTAAAATTCAATAGTTCAAATCTTGGACTTGCCTCTGCAGGATGTGCTTGAGTCTACCTAGCTCCAATGGGTAACTGGCCTATGTCAGTAAAGGTGACTGTGCATAATTCTTTATATGTACTGTGATATTGACTTTATGCCAGAAAGGGTAAACTTAATTAATGGAGTTGAAGATTTACTGTTATTGTAGTTGTAATAAACTAAAAGTAGATGAAAAACAAAAAAATTAACTATATTTACAGTATATTTATTCAATTAAACATAACATTTTAAAGACCAAGCTTATTTTCTCATTTTCATAAACTCTTATATGGGCCTGATTTTACAGACACTGTAATTATATGAAATCAATATTCATAAGCTGAGTTCTTTATCTAGAATTAAAAAGAAATGTTTTTTAACATGAAGATTTTTCTTATTACAAAATGTATATTGTTAATTTAAAAAACAATCTGTTACCCTTGGGAATAGCAGCCTAATACTAAGTTGTACATTACGAACAGAGTAAGACTACAATAATATAGTTACTTGATGTAGTAAATCTACAAGAAATCAACCTTTTAAAAATGTTTTTACACTGCACTAAAAATACATTAAAATATAATTAAAATTGTCTAATTAAAATGTGTGTTTTTTTAAATAAAGGTCACAGTTCATTTTTTTTAATTTACCAAAAATTTGTTATAATTTATTACCAACTGATTAAACTTTCATGAAGAATTTTAATAATTAGACTAGCACTTCCACCCATCCACTTGAAACACAGGTCTATCAAAGAACTTATTATTTAGCAAAACCTAGAATAACAATTGTTAGTTTTTCTTTCCACATGTTGTTAAAATATAATAAGTTTTATTAAGAAAAAATGTTAATAACAGAAATAAAAAAAATATTCTGTAACAGCAAGCATTTTTATTTTGACCAAAGAATGTTTCATTCATCTTCCACTGTAACTTGAATGAACTTGCCTTGTTTACACAGGTCAACAGATTGGGGTACCATGAAATAGTTACCAGGTCGTAGGTTATAGACAGTACCAAACTTGTAGCTTAGGTATGAGAATGGTGGTACAGTACATCTCCACATATTAGACAGGCTACCAACATCTTCCAATGGCACAGTTATATCACTGGTTACAAACTTAATGTGTGTCCCTTTCTTAACAACAACCTAAAAATTAAAGATAATGAATAAGTTTCATTCAAATCATTGTGAACTGAGTTTTTAAATGAATTTTTAATAATTCTAAGAAGTTCTTTATTCAATTGCTTCCCATTTAATGGGAATTTAGATGCCATCAGGCATCTACAAAGAACTCTTGGGTGCCTCCTGAGCTGGTTTTAGTGGAGCATGGTTGATAATATGTAATAAGTGGTTTATAATAACTAGTCTGCAGTAGGTACTAATAAAGTGTTCAAGGTTTGTGGTAATAAATTCTGCTTGTAATGGAGTTAAGAAGGATCTTTATCTATCCCTAACATTAGATTAATGAGGTGAAGTTTACTTTATTAAAAAGGTCATCTTGTAGGTAAGCCTGAGAAGTCCACATTCAAAGTAATTTAGTATTAAGTGTTCTTAACCCTCAGTCTACGGTATGGGCTCTGAATTTCTTCCCTTGCTGTTTAGCCAAGCAAAGGGAAATAACTCTCTTTTTTAAAATGATTGCTTGGAAATGGAATAATTAATTTTAAAATCCACATGCAATTTAAAAATTAAAAAAACAAATTAAAATTCACAGAGGAAAATGGATGCAGATTATTGTGCATTACTTTTAATTACCACGTACACATTTTTTAAATTGAAAAAGCAGCTTCAAACTTAATAGTAAAACAAAATGGCAGAACAGCCACATTTAGCCTCGTAGGACTGTAAAGGGTTATTATATAGGCCTACCCTGTGCACTAAATTTAAACTCAATGTATCAGTTTTAAGTAGATTTATTCAATTCTAAATAGAAATATTTACCTTTGGTGGTGGGTGGTTTCCTAAGCTTAAGGGAATAATAACAATATCATAGTTGACTCCAGCTGGTCTTTCTACTATTGGAACTTCTGCTACTGTTGCACTTTTAACATAACCAGTAGGAAGTGAAACTATGAATTTGGCCTTAAGATAAGAAGTAGTTAAAAGTAAAGATTAATTAAATCAGAAATTTTATAAGGTAAAGGTAATTTTTTTTAAATACGGTTTTAAACAAATTTACTAGATTGTCATAATAATTTATAACAATTAAGGCTTCTGTATCCTTAATTCATTGTTATTGTTATTAAAGTTGATTAGCTGTAGAAACAGAATTGAGAAATAAAATTGGCAATGGTAGGTGTCAGTTGTGGTTTATAATGAGAAAGTGTAAATGTAATGGCTTTGTTTCTACTTCCTCACTTCCTGAATCAAAGCCTACATACAGTAATTGTTGATAATCAGCACACACGCTTTTTCTTTCTACCACATATGCTTAATTTCTAACTTATATTTGCTGTTTTCCATAGATACCAGCTAAGTATGAAAACCGATCAGCAATTAGTCCATTAGCATGAGACATTAAGACTAATATATATATATATATATATATATATATATATTAGTCTTAATATATATATATATATATTTTATAGGATAGGAAAATATAATAAGCTGCCCCCCCCCCCCCCCCCCCATAACCGTTTGGTCAAGTGGTTCAGTACAATATAGCTGACCTCAAACAGTTGATATTAATTCATTACAGGGCTTTATGATTAGCTATCTGCCCCCCCCCCCCCTGTATTACTAACAATGTAAAATAAAATAAAACCACTTTACTTTATAGTAATTATAGTAAACCTAATCAATAACATCTCTAAACATATAAATCTGTTTCTATTATAGATAATAAACAAAATGGAATAGTAGTCTTACTTTGACAGGAATGTCAGTTGAGAGTTCAGCTTGATGGAAGACATCAGTAATATCATATTTGAAAATCCTTTCGTAGGCCCACGGCATTTCCTTTTCACCCCCAAGCATATGGAAACTGCCAGCAGGGATGAAGTTGTCATTTTTTTCAAGTTCAACCTATAAATAGGTAAACATGTAAGTGTGCACTTCTTCAGCTGCGGGACATTTTAAACTGAACTGTAAGCCTAGCCCTATGGTAAAGTTATGCTTAGGGTAAGACCACACTCTCTGCATGAAACAGCATCATTCATCATCTCCCATTGCCCATTAATGCATGAGGCATAAACAAGTGAGTGACATTTCTTCTGTCCAAAACATCTACCATTTTGAACATTAGTTCACCCTCCTTGTACTCTTCCTCCATGTTTCTTTGGCCTCCCTAGTTTTCTCTTGTTCGGTGAATCCACTTTAGCCAATGTATCTGAACACATGGCATATCTATCTTCTGTGCCAGATGATTACAGATGAGTAGTTCAACAAGTGTTCTTTTTTTAAACTCCTCATTTGAGGATTTAGAAGATTCTTAATATTTGGCACAATCATTTGTTATAGAAAGCTATTAGTTACATCTTTAATGCATTCCATGTGTTCCAAAATTTAGAACCATGCATGAAAATGTTTCTTCTCCCATTCCAAGCATAATTTTCAATAATTTCAGTTTCAGTTTAGCAATAACAAGGTTACGGTCACATCTGCCTGTCTCTTAAGCTATACATCTTTGTCTGCTACCTGTTGCCACTGAATGATGATGATGTGATCCATATGAATTTGTATTTTACCATCAGTTGTAAGCTTATGGGTGTCTCTGTGTATGAATAAAGTGCCACCAATGTGCATGTCATATTTGGGTATGCCAATCATACTTTCTTTGGTCTGTTAGAAAATTCTTCCTTATTGTTTCTTAATTGGCTTTCACTAACAAGGGTTAAGCTGTTTCCATGTCCACAATAAGAGTAACTCCATGGTGTTTGTCTTTGTCTACTTGACCATATAATAACTTTCTTCTGATCTTAGTTTTTAAAGCCAGTACTACTCCATCTGACTTCCATTATTCCAATAAACCAGGAGTGATCTCCCCTAAACTTTCTCGGATATTCTGATATAAAACTACGAGGGATGGCAACTCAGGACATAGACAATATTTGTAATCCATTTTTAATTACTTAAACTTTTTATAATAGAATGGAATCTCGTAAAAAAAAGAATTGCACACTAAGTGAACGCCTAATAAAATGTGCATAATAGTGCGGGATAATATTAGTACTTTATAAATTTACGTGCATTTTTTGAGAAATCGGAAATAGCGTGAATTAGTACTTCCGGTCAACGGAAATTACTCAAAATTTGACAGAAGGTAGAGAATTAAATCTTTTACTTACATGTAAAATTTCATTTATCTATCTGAAATAGTACTCAAGTTATAGGCTTTTGAAAAATTCAAAGTAGAAAAAGTACCACTTCCGGTTATCGGAAATCGCTTAAAAGTTGATACGGATCTATGATTTTGATAAAATACTTATATATGAAATTTCATCAACCTAGCTGTAACGGTACTCAAGTAATCGTGTTTACACACAGTCACGCAGACACACACACACAGATTGCAAAATTATATTTTTCCGTATCAGTGAGCTGTAAAACGTCGAGATTTGTAAAAATCTCGATTTTTTTGTGTGCACGATTACAATACTTTCTCTATACTTTGTATATACGAGAAAGTAAAAATACTCAAATTGTAATGGTTCATTTCCCGTTTTGTCTCAGTCAACTTTCTGTCTGATCAAATCTTATTGTCTTGCCGGACACCAGGAGAATAAATGCCGGAATAAGGACATCCTTAGATCCCTGCTCCTGATGTGATCAGTTGATAGATCTTCTCTTCTTGAACCAATTGAAATTTTGTTTTCACTTGCAGTTTTTGTAGAAATTCTATTATCTATAAGAAAGGGATGCTAGCCCTAAGCTAATCTTCATTATGACTTGGGACATGCCGTAACCTCATACTGTCCACTGGTGGAGTTAAGGGCACCCATGATTTAAACAGTTTATTGTAAGTCTTGTTACCTTGGTTTTCCTTTATGAATTCTCCTTAGTATTTTAGTGTCAGCTATAAAGAGTTTTTTTCAGTGTTTCCTTACCTTATTTTTTCTTTACTTCTGAAGTTGCATTATAGGTCCATTGATGTACATTTTAGGTGGGAATAAGCCAATTTCTTTGGTTTTCTAAAATTCTATGGAATGTCTAGTCCTAATATGAAATATAATTTATTTTGTCTACATTCAAGCATTCTTAAAAATGCTGTGGTTTGCACTTTACCAGTATCATACATACATATATGCTAAAATTGTTAATAGTTTAATTACAATCAAATTCAAGCAGTTATTCAGGTATAAAAAACATGAATTACCTTTATCTGAATAGATAACTGCACTGAATACAAAACAAATCCTAGGGCAATTCTATTAGAACCACGTGACTTTTTAATTAAATCATTGATACTTTTGACATCATGGCCATTTAACTCCAGCTTATCATACTGAAAAATAGTTTGAATAACAAATTTTAGTAAAAACACTGATTTATACAAATAATTGAAAAAATAAGTGTTAATCGCATAATGTGATAGAGTACCTTGTACCCAAAACGTTCTGAATCAAAAATAAGGTTTGGTACAGAGTTCTTGCGAGTGAATTCATTCAAGTTAACATCTGGATAACTGAAAGGTTGTAATGGTAGGTCCATAAGTCTACCACCACAGCTTGCTGAATGAAATGGCTTTTTACGCAGCTCTTGAAGTTCCTATTTAAAAAGAATACATACATACATAAATATATATAAATGATGTATATAAATATTAGCATGGTTTTGACACCAATGTATCTACCAAAGATTTATTTTATGACTTATCCAAACAAGAGATTTTGAGCCAATTTTCACAAAATGTAGAATAATTTATACAAATTATCAAATATTAGGGGATTTTGATGCCTGAACAGCCAAAAGTTAAATGCTACTTGACAATTTATTATTACTTTCTCTTAATTTTCATCTCTGCTTTTCTATACACTCGTCTTTTTTGGCGTGCTTTTCTCATTTTCACCTGCAAGCTGTTTAAAAGAAAACCTGTTTACAAGGTTTGCTTCCTCCTCCTTTTTAGACTGTTACGGAAATGAGTTAAACAATGGTCATTAAATAGTGTGATGCATGATTAGTTTCAACTTTTTGTGTCCGGGCACTTGTGTCCAGGTAGCACTGTACTTCCAACTATTCATTAGACCAGTGGTTCCCAACCTTTTTCGAGTGGCGACCCCCTTTCATAAAACGTAAGTGACCCGCCACCCCCATATAATTAACAAGTCGAAATTAGTAAAGAAAATAATAAGCACTAAATTAATATTTTCTAGTAGACTTTCAATATGAATTATTCTTGATAACTGTTTTAATATGATGAGCAAAATTACATGCTATTAACAAGCATTAACTAGCATTAACAATCAAATTTTGCAAATTTAAGTATTCATCTTGTTATTCATCGGCAATGCTGGTAATATCGAGGAAAGCAGAGAATGGGTGACAATGCAGATTCTTCTTCTTTTAGCTCGGGGAAAATAACGCCGCAGTTCGTTGTCAAGAGATTCAAGATCCACAGAATCCTTTAAAAATGTTATCTATCACACCACACTGCAGAGTTTCTCAAACATGACAGTATTTCAAATATTTATTTTTCCTCGCCAATTTTGCAGCTTTGATAAAAATGCCAAGAGATTATCATGAAAAGATAATATTCGTTCCTTTATCAGGTTAAGCTTATGATGAGATTTTCTCCTTTGTGTGAGAGGTTTTTTGCTTGGCAATTTCTAATACTACTTCATTTGATGCCTGCACTAATGCTGTGTTTTCTTGGTGAAAACGTTCTGTTCGATCAAGTCTCTTACGTTTGCAACTAGCTTCATGGCGACGAAAGAACTACGTATCTTTTTTGGTGTGTTCCAAATGACTCGTCTCAAATTGACGTTTGGAAGTTTTCATAGACTCCTGACTAAGAACAACTTTGCACAGTACAAATTGTTTATTCTCTATTCCATTTCCAGTGGTTAGTAATGCCGAATTTCAAATATTTTTCTAAATATTTATGTTTTTTATTCATTGCTAGAGTTTAGTCTACCAGTTGGTGACACCCCAGAAAGCCCGTCGCGACCCCCAGGTTGGGAACCCATGCATAAGACTTAACAGTTGATTATATTTTGATATATCAAGTCAAATAAAATGGGGTTGGTGCATTGTTGCCTTTAGATTATTTTCCTGCATATTGTACTGGATCTACCATTAAATGGCTTATATAGATATTGAATATGTTTTTTGGAGTCCCTACTAGTACGTTTATCAAAGACAGTTTAATGTATCATTACCAAAAACAATTTGGAGCTTTTTTTAGACAGTAACAATAACGGAAAATAAAATAAATTTACCTGCCACATTATCCAGATTCTGTCAATGCTTGAGTGATGAATCATAAAAAATGGATCAAAAGCAGAGTATTCTAAAGTAGACATGGAATATGTACCATTTCCACCAATGAGAGCATGAACTTCATTATGAAGTATTTCATATTGAACCTCAAAATCACAATAATTATCTTCTTCAAGAGCACTAAGAGCAAGATGGAAGAGCTTATTGTGTCCGATGCCTTTAGCAGTGTTAAAAAGATCAGGGTCTACATTGCGAGTTGTCCTCTGTGGAGAAATTATGCAATTTTTTTCATTTTATCTTCAAAATAGTCCCCTAATATAGACCTACATTCTCTTGGATATTGGATTAAAATGGGCCTACTAAGAACAAGGTGTAAGTTTTCTATTAATAAATTAGTAATAAAATAAGTATTTCTATAAATGTACATACATACTAAATAGTTGACAATTGTGCTGACATAAAGAATGTGGTAAGCTTAACAAATAATGGGTAGTTATTGGATTTAATGTGCTATCGCTCTATAGACAAACAGCTTAACCAGCACCTTCTTCATAGTTGACTAACTCATCCTGTTTGTTATAACTGAGCAATGGTGAAAATTATTTTTTTTTACCTCTCCAGTAAATGATATCAGGTGACTATAAAAGGGATTAAAGTTGGAATTGTCTCCAAAAAAATCTGGCAGACTCTGGAAACTAGATGTCCAGTCCCAATATGGAATGCCAAACTGAGCACCATGACCTTTTAGAGCTTGCTCAAACTGAACAGTCAGAAGTCTGTGCCAGTGTGGGAAAACTGGCATGCCTGTAGGAACACATTCATAGATTTATCATTGAAATTTTAAGTGTTTAATATATAGCTTTAATCACTTTACTGATTATCATGTACCATCTTTATTCAAATAACAAAAAGTTATCTTTTATTATACATTAAAAAAAGCAATTTAATCTTCTTTTGTTCAGCTGAATTCCGGCTCGTATTTGGAATATTTCTAAAGCCTACTGTCCACACCTACCATGAGCACAACAAGCATATTTATCTGCTCCACTTGAAGGACACTTATATGGAGCCCCATGAAATCCTGCGATTGCTTCAAATCCATTAGCACCAGAATCTTGTTGAAGTTTACTTAAAGCATTCTTTAAGTTGTTAGTTTCAGCTAGTGTTAATGAATTGACATTTTTTCTGATGATTAAACCCTGCTGGTCATCTACAGTTTTGTCAACAATTGCTGTCCCCACTAGAAAAGTAAAAATAAATGTGATGGAAAAGGTCTATACAAAATGAAGCTTTATATAAAGTTTTTGTAATTAAAAAATGTAGAAAAAAAAACAAGTTACAAAATAAAAAAGCCCTATTATTTTTGTTCTCAACAGCAACTACATTTTTATTCAACTTTGCTATGGCTTAATCTTTCTAAGACTATTAGCTAGAGCACTAGAAAGGAAAACTAAGAGTGAATACTTAAACTAAATCTTTAAAGAATTAATATAATATGACAAAGCTATATATGTTGGGGATGATTGGCTATCCTCTAATGATGGGCTTGCAAATAGTTGTAGATGAATTATTTTTATCATTTAAGTATTTTAATAACTTTTCCCCCCCATAAATGGTTCATTCTTACACTTGACACCTGGCACATATCGAACACTTGGTGTTTTGATAAGCTTGTTGTCCAGAATAGTGCCATTTACTGCTGTAATTTCAAGTTGAAAGTGATACTCTGAATCCGGTCTTAAATGTAGCTGGTCAAATATTTTGGTCACATCATATTTAAAAAGACGATCTAATGTCCAAGGCATCTCAAGTGGTCCACCTAACACAGCAAAAGTTCCTATGGGGAAAAATATAACATATTTAAAATAATTTAATTAGCTGAAATGGTCACTAACAAAAACTCCCACAAAAATATATGTTCGGGATTTCTCTATCTACGTTGAAACATGGAGAACAAATTGGGGATAACTATGCCAGAGTTGATGTTTTTTAAATTTTAAATTAATAAAACAAAGAGGTCAATAGCTAGCCTAATGAATCAAGCTGCACTGTGATCACTAAAGCATATTTATAATTTTTAAGAACTCATAAAAGTTTACAATTGATAAATTTAAAAAAAAGAAGTAAGTTAACATTTCAAGGTAAGAGAAATAATTATTTTAGAATTTCCACATAAAAAATAATTTGCAAAAAGAATATGAAATTGCAAATATGCCTACTGTTGTACAGAAGGTATGATTCCAAGAAAAAAGAGCAATGGGCAATTACTTCATAGAGAAAACTGTACTCAAGAAAATAATAAATAAAATGTATCCAGGGGAAATTCCACACACTGTGCCAGAAGAAAATTGCAAATATAGAAGCTGATAGCAAATAAAACTGAGAAACATGGGCATTTTCTATTCATGTAATGTATCTATGTATTTATACTTATTTTCATATAATCTTATCAATTTTATTATGCAATTATCTAAACTGTTTTAATTATTCTGAATTCAGTGGTTATGTTTCAATAAACTATGAATGAATAATCTGGGAGTCAATTATTATTTAAAACAAATGTCAACTATTTATGCACATAATATTAATTAGTTCTCTTTTCTGTGTGGGCACATTTCTTTTTTCTATCAGCAAAAATTTCTTTCAGTATTTCATTTTTTTTTTGCGCACATTTCCTGATGCATTTCTTTTAGTTACCAAATCTACTTCTGTAATCTTATATGTATGAAACTTAAAAATCTCAAAGTAGTGATAACCAACCCTATTAGTATCTAGTATAGATAGTTTTCTGTTTTGATTTACATAAAATGATGGAAGCAATACATACCAGCAAAAGCACAGATGTTTTCTGCATTGCAAAGTTTAAACACAATATCAGCACTAGTACCAATACTATGAAGGAGAAATTCTGCAAAAATCCTGTCCTGGAGCTTTTGTTTTTCAAGCAGGTTAGCAAGCTGAGTTATACTCAAACCATGGAAGTTGAGATTATCATATTGGTAGTTGATTCTAAAAAAAAAAACAATTTAATATCTGTACATTAAATTTCAATTATTAAATCAATTAATGAACTTTTGATAAAAACTTTTGTACAGAAATAAACATTTGGTTAAGTTTACCTGTCAAAGTCAAAAACATCAATCGCACGTGAGTGTAAGCGTGTAGTTGGGTTAATATTTGATTCCTCACTGAATGGTTTCATTGGCTGACGCAAGTGTTGGATGGCACAGTTGGCGCTGTTGTAAGGAAGTCCTCTGAACTTCTGGAGAGCTTGCCAGATAGCGAATTGCCTGTCAACGTTTGAGTGATGGAGCAGGAAGAGAGGATCATAGGCAGTGTACTCAAGTGTAGACATGCCGTAAGGGGAGACACCTCCAGTCCAGGAGTGAATGGCGTTATGAGTTATTTCAAATTGGACCTTTTGGCAAAATGCAATAGAATTAGTTGAACATAAACATGGATAAAAACACCCAGATTAAGGTATACTAATGTTAACAAGAACATAATTTAGCATGAAGGTAAATATATTATATATAATTTTGTATTCAATTAAGTTAAACTAATTTAAATTTTAACTACTAACAAAATAGTTTCTACCTAAAAGAATGCTATTTAGCAGGCAAGGAGTGATCTTAGTTGACAGACACAGCAATACTTTAGATATTGGGGCCATACATAAAAAAAGAAACACAATTTGGACAATACAATATATGAGAGATTCCTAGGCAGAAACTTGGTTCATATCCACCTTGGCATACAGAAGCATGGTATAACTACAAGATAACATTTATTTCTCCACAAATCTGATCTTAATTTCTGGAATGGAGCTACATTTATGAAAAGCAAAAATGATTTGGTCAAAGCATTTGGTGAACAGCTTGTTTGACATTGTAATGAAGAAGATGCTAAAGTGAAGATGCTAAAGAACAAATGACAAAACATCACCTGCCTGATCCAAGGAATGTTGCTGACATAATTATTCGTGATCAATGTACAGTGACATAAGATGGACAACAATTTTTTCTATTTGATTCTCGAGTCAATGGATGTTTTTAATTGGAACTAAGGACAACCTTAAGTTATTAGGGGCTAATCAGCACTGGTTTATGAATGGTACATTTCAAATAGCTCCTCACAATTTTCACAGCTGTACTTAAAAACAAAACATAGGAAATGTACACAGTACTCTTACTTCTTGAACACAAACCTACAACCATTGTCTATCATGAGACTTTGAAAATGCTGTATTGAAAAAGTATTAGGGGTCGGCGTGGTCGAGTCGGTAAAGCTCATGGTTGCTAAACCAAAAAGTCTCGAGTTCGAACCCCCGGGCAGATGAGGCTCGTTAGCTGGGGACAGCCACTCTTCTAGGAGAGACAACTCCAAAATGAAACAACTGCTGCCTTGTAGTTAGTTCTTGGTTGGACAAAGGCTATGGAAGCAAATCCAAAAAGAAAAGCAGGCTGAAATCGGAGTTGATGGCCTCAATGGTGCATAACCAGTTGACACGCATCCTTAATTGTGATGGAGGCATGGTCGAGTCAGCATAAAACTCATGGATGATAAATTCGAAAAAAAAAAAGTCTCGAGTTTAAACCCTCTGGCAGATAAGGCTCGATCCCTTCCAACATTAAAAATTAAGAACGAAGAAGAAAAAGTATTTAAAGGTTATTTCCAGAATGAGAAGTGAAAGGGTGCTTTTACCATCTTAGCCCAAACATATTCAGAAAAATACAGGACTGGTCTTCAACAGTGTTGCCAAATTGATAGTGAATTTACTCTCATGCTTAGAATGCTGCCCATATTTGCTTTTGTATAAACTGAAAACACTAATGCCTTTGACAAATTTTATTTGAAATTTTTGTCCAGGAGGGGAGACTGAGGTGAAATGTAGAATAATGTAGGTTATATAACGATTGGTCGAGCTGTTGAAAAATGAGAAGCGTGATGACTGGTCACAAGTGAGAGGAACTAAGTTGAGATGAAATCTTAGATTAATTGAGAGGTTTCAGTTGAGGAGTACACTGCTGTAGTGTGACAGAGGACGCCATAGAAAAAGTATTATACAGATTGATGCAATAAAACACAAATGTCTAAAACATTTACCTCAAAATCGCAATAGTCAGTCTGCTCAAATGCTAGAAGTGTTTGTCTATAGAAGAAAGATTCAGATCCAAATTCAGGGTCATTGAAAAGTTGTTCTCTGGGTGCTCTTGTTGTAATTTCTCCATTGTAGATTTTACCATGATGGAAAGGATTATTTTCTTCTTCTGTCACAAGGGTTGGAAGAGCAGTAAAGGCAGTGGTCCAGTCCCAGTATGGAATACCAATCTTTGCTCCCTGTTTTAAAGAAAATTATTAAAAACAAATTTTGTTAAAGGTATTAAACTCTGTAAGAATCACCCACTCACCTGAGCAGTTAGAGCATCTTCCCATTGCTTAACGTAGAGTCTGTGCCATTGAGGGAAGTTGGCCATACCATGGAGGCAGCAAGCCACTCTATGACCATTGTGTTCACATTTTCCTGGACTTCCATGTAAACCGGCAAGGCTCTAGAATTATAAAAGACAACAACATAGGTATTAGTTGTTTTCTGTTTTCTGCTTTCTGTTTTATTTTAGACTGTGGTATGGTCACTCTCTATATATATTTAATTTCCAGTCTTGCACGTTGCTGAAATCTCAAAAGAAAGAAAATTCAAGGAAATTCTCCAAGATAACATTTAATTACTACCTATGGTTTTAATTTTAGATATTTGAACTTATTTTCTGACCACATCTTTCACTATATGCATAGTAATAACAGGTACATGTGGCACTAGAAAAAAATGAGAATAAGTTGATCAACACAAGAATGAGGTAGCAGGTGGCTCATAGACTGACTGTCAGAAGTGTTGCAGGGGCTCCAGGGAGCCAACGGCTGAACTAACGCAGGTGTGCCAGGCACTGCCCTGTTTAGTTTATTTATCTATTGTGGTAGCCCACAGTATCCCTTGTGTAAAGAGCTCTTTAAATGAAATATAGGTATCTCAATACTCATGGGATGGCCTGGGGCCCACTACTGCAGGGGTCTGTGATGCAGTTGGGATATTGAGTCTAACCCTGACCCCCTGTACAGGACGCCCAATCAGCAGTTCCCTGGTTCTGAAGTAGCAGCAGTGGATAAAATAGGCCCTGGGGGAGATGTGGTAGAGGGGGAGAGCTTATACCAAAAAAAAAACATTCATGATATAAACCTTCACACAGCATCAGAGAAAAAAATAATACTATTAACGCTCAATATGGTAAAAGGAAAAATTCAGCATTCAAAAGATTTTGAGAATATTCTCGAACATTAGCAAAATTATTATTTATTTAAATGAAATTTTTTAAAAGTTGTTTTAATTCAATATACATTTTCAATTTGCATCCATCATATGTATTTTACTAAGGCCAACCTTAACTCTTTGTCCATTTCTTAAATTTCAGTGCCCCGACAAACTGATGAATCTGTCTGACACAATTTAATAAAAATGCTTTATTACAAAAGAATGTCACAAGTACTATATGCTTTATGGTAAGTTCCTGTCATGATTGTCCCTACAGAAAAAACGTATTGTTTTGTTTATCATTTGTAATTTGCCAAAAAAAAAACAACAATTTAAACAGTTGAACAATCAGCATTCTACCTCCGTGGCCACACTTAACTATGTCTACCTACTGGAATGACTTGCATACTAAATAGAACTATGGATTCATGTACAAATGTTCATTAAAAAATATAAAATTAAGTTTTTATTTATATTCTTAGTCTTCATTCTTTATTGAAAGTCTTTTGTGTGTATATTTAGCATGAAACCTAGGGGATTAGGGATTTAGGGTTCAGGTGCTTAAGGTTGAAATCGGTATTCCACATTTTTGTCTGAGAAGGGAAACAACTCAGTTTAATAGTTAATAAAAATCATTTAAGCTTGGTAATATCCCCTACTATAGGCCTATACTCTAATATTTGAAATAATCTGAGGCCCCGTATGCAGGTAGATCTATGTTATAAAAAATTGTATAGCTCAAATATTTTTAAAGTACTCAACAACATTGAATAATTTAATGGAGAATGGTGTAGGAATGCATGAAATACAAACTAACATACTTATATTTTTATACTAGCCGTCCCGACCAGGCCCTGTATGGGCCTCTCTGAAAAACCTATCTGTAAAGGACCATGACTTGAGTGTTTAGTAATCAGCATATACCCAGCATTGCCCACCCTAACCACAACCAACCAAAACCCACAAAACAAAAAGCGCAAACATAACACAAACAAGCACAAATGAAAACACAAAAACAAACCCAACCAACACAAAGAACACACAAACAAAAACGCAAACAAAGAAGCAAACGAAAACAAACCCAAATGCAAACACAAACCCAATCACAAACGCAAACAAAACATAAACGCAAAGTGCTCACAGTCTAGCCCGGGCGCTAAATAGCACCCTGTTGGGGCGCAGGAGGACGCCCGGATTTGATTCAGTTAAAGACTATAGTAACCTTTCTTGTCTTTCATAGTCAATCGCACTGTTTAAAATGAAATTTTGCACTATAGTGCTCACATGATAGCCTAGGGCGCCAAATCGAACCCTGCGAGTGCACGGCGGATGCGCCTGTTTCAATTTAGAACAATTACAATACCCCAAGCTTATCCGCAGACAGAAAAAAGTAAACATAGAGGACATTTAGGAGCTGGCTTCTTAACTGTTATTGATTTTAAAAAATATTTGCGGTGAGAAACAACGTCATCTGGTGGAAACTTTGAAGCTATAAAACATAAACATAATCTAATCTTCATAATCGAGAACGTAGTTAAACTTTACACTGCAAAATGTACCGTTAAAAGGTTTGCGTAAAAAAAGGTACGCACTATGGTGAGGTAAAAAAAAGATGACGTTGATCATGTTTAGTGCGACAGACACTAACGAATTCCCCTTTGTGCGAAAAAAAAAGACCGATAATAGTCTGCGGGAATTCCCGTTCCCGAATAAAGATGTCTTTGTTACATCAACTGTTTTTGATTAAAAATAATAATTAGTAAACAGTACGTTCAGTGTATAAAATAAATAAAAGGCAGTATTTAAAATAACTACCATATTTCACTTGATCAACCACACTAATTATTTAATTATTTTTTTCCCAACACCAAAACAAAGTAATAGAGAGTACATTTTTTCCCCCACGTTGTAATTTTTTTTATAAAGGGAAGTAATTGTGTTTTCCTAATTTTTCAAAGGACGTAAGGAGTGATAAAGAACTAAATGTAAATAATTTTCAGACACAGAATTTTGTGAATGATTATACATTTTTAAAAAATTTTGTTTGATGGACATGCTGACATTTATCATTATAAGTTTGAATTATGAATTTAGACGATAAGCACTTTAGAAGTCTTATTTTTTCTTATATTCCTTTGGAATCCACGGTCCTCCACATACAGAATTCAAGTTTATATATTAGATATATCTACAGAAAGTGGGCAAGCAATATAATTTTTAAATCAACAAAATCTATCATAAACCTGAAATCCATTGGGACCTCCATCTTCTTGAACTTTTTGCATAGCTTTGCGTAGATTATCAGTTTCTGAAGCTGTAAGAGTTGACACATCTTTACGGATGCCAGCACCAGCCATTGATGACGACTCTAGATCTCTAACCATTCCTGTTTCATTATACATACATGTATGTATGTATGTGTATATATATATATATATATATATATATATATATATATATATATATATATATATATATATATATATATATATATATATATATACATGCCTATTATTATAAGCACATAAATAACAGTTGTATTATGACTGAACATAGATCCAGAAACACAGAAAATAAAAGATTACCTTCAGGAGGTTGATATATTATACTAGGTTCTGGCATTACATCTTTAATGTTTAACACATTTCCATGCACATCAAGAATAGTAATATCCAAACGAAATTGAGAGCCTTCATTAAAGATTTCATCAATCTGGAGATCAATTTGTGGTAAAGCCCAAGTGAAATCAGCTTTGTACAAACGATCAAATGCCCATGGCATCTCAGTAGGTCCACCAAGCAGATGAAAGTAGCCAGCTGATGTACACACTTCACCCTGGAGAATTGATTTTTTTTAGCAGCACTGACATATTAGCAAAGATGTTACTCTAGATCTATTGGACTCATCTTACCTTACAAACTTTCATTAATACTGTGCCTGACTTTTTTATGCCCTTTAATAAAAATCCAGCAAAAACTCTAGGTCTTTTATTCCAACCTGTGAGCATCTTTTCTATCTCTTCTATGTTGTAACCACCAATGTTAAGATTGTCATAGCCATAGCCAAGTTTCTTATAATCGAATAAAGAATTGGGAACAGCATGAGCTCTGTTGAGGAAAACAAATGCTTATTTTACTTAAATCATATTTTGACGTTTAGATGATGTGGTTTTTTATCAACTAACAATCACCGCTTTAAAATTATATATTAAATATTGGCACTTGTAGAATTGAGACTGCTTGGACATGTCTGTGCTCGCATGGTCTTGAGTTTGAATCTAGATTCAACTCGATAGGACGTGCCAGAGTCCACCCAGCTCTGGTGGATACCTGTTTCACATTAGGGAAAGTAAAAAGTGGCTGGGCATAAAAGCTGACCACACTATCACTTCATATGCCAAAGTCACAAAACAGGTGAACCCTACTTCACTTAACCCCAAGGACCATTAGATTCTAAGGAAACTTCTTTTTTTATTAAATTGATTGCACAATTTTTTATCAACCCTTGAACAACTTCTAGTAATCAGAAGTGCTACTTTTATCTATTTCCCTGTGAAGACTAAACTTGAGAACTTTTTCAGCTAGGTGAACGAAATATTGGATTAGGTTAAATTTTTGAATGGCCTACGGTATCTATTAGTTGTTAAAAGGTCCCTTGTAATATAAATATCTTAGTGATGTCCCTTGAATTTGAATGTAGAGTCTGTATGTTGTGTAAACAGTGTGTTTAGTCAGACCGTGTAATCAGATGTGTTGTCAGAGACTATTCTCTATTTGTGTATAAAGTGTAAACTTGAGATAGCTACTGTTGTGTTCTAAGCACTACAAGGAGAATAATGTAACATGATGAAGCTTGTATTTTACATTACTGAGTCACAGCAGTGAAGGCTAACTGCTGCTCTCACGAGTTCCATTTAAAATTGTACTGTATAAATCTAAGATTGCGGAACAGAGAGGTTACAACAAGCTAAAAATCCATCCAGCCTAAGGGAAGCTGTAAATACCAGGGTAAGGTACACATATTGTGAATAAAACCAGGAATATAAAAGAACTATGCTTAGGATGAGGTAGAATTTATAACATATATGGAAGAGAATGCAATAGATCATTGACATCAGACAAGGAAATGGTGTTGGTGATTGAAGGCTGCGGACACAGGTAAAAGTATACATTTTCTATATAAATTCTATTTCATTCAGGGGAGGGGGCGCAGCAGTCATTCTTCAGAGCCCCCCATTCACAATGAGATGCCTCAAAGAAGCTCTAGTTGTCAGAGACTGTTCTATGTCTCATAAAGTGCTCAAGTTAACTAGATGTTGTCTAATGTTGTGTTCAAGTTTACTAGGTAAGCCTACTACAAGTTAAGTGTTTTATTAAAAATGGAATGGTTTTGTCACAAACTTCTTTATTTCTATAACCTGATTGCACTAAAAGTGATGTCCCCCTTGTTATTGTATAAAAAAAGATAGTTTAGAGTAGATGACTCCTGCTTTATTTTTGTTTTATATTAGTAGAAAAAATATGAGGCCTGAAAACTTTTATAGTTATAATAGTGCCATTCCTAATTTTCTGACTTACTTGGTAAATTGGTTTAAATTTATACCATCAAAATTGAATGGTTTCATTGGTTCATTCATTTGATTCAGAGCACAGTAAGCCTTATAAGGCAGTCTTCTTCTTTTCTGCATTTCTTGCCACACAGCCCACACTTTATCAGTAAAAGAATGATGAATAAAAAAGATTGGATCATATGCAGAGTACTCAAGAGAGGATAAGGAATACATTTGAGGTCCTCCTACAAGGTAGTGAATTGAATTGTGCATGACTTCAAACTGCACCTGAGAAAATAGGATGATTTAAAACAAGTTTAATTTTTTTAAAAGTTTATAAGAGCAACTAGACTTGAATGTCTGGATTAATAAAAATGAACAGATTACATTAATTTTATAAGCATTTACATAAATGTTATAAGCTATAATTTAAAAAATGAGGTGTTAGTCAATAACATTAAAAAAATAAAATTACTGCCTTCAACATCCCATCTTCCGCACCACTCCAACTGTAGCACCTCTATCTCCTAATTCTTCACAAACCCAGAAAATGTTATTGAAAAAGATATATTACATAGTTTCTTTTGCAATCCATAATTTAAAAATGTATTATGTGCTATTGAATTTTGAATTGTTTGAAATTAATTTACAGATTATGCTAATGATATATGCAGAGGCATTAAAATGTCTGTTTTGGACATCAATAGCAGAAATATGATTTATATTTTAATACACACACGCCAGAACATACACGCACACACATCAACACACACACCTATTATATATAGAAAATACTGATTATGCAAGAATAATGTACCTCAAAATCGCAATAGTTAGTTTGTTCAAGAGCTACCAATACATCATAAATAAGAAGTGAATTTTTTCCATCATATGTTGTTGAATATATATCTGGCCTGATATCTCTTACAGTGTACACATTTTCTGATGGCACATATCCACGAGCAAATGGATTTGCAACAACCTTCACAGAAAAAAATTTCAAAGTTACTTTATGAATGGTTATATTAATTCTATTTTAGAAAAATTCAGTTTTTCCTCCACATTTTTCTCGCTGTCTATAAGTATAAGTGAATCAGATTATACTCATTGTAAGCTTGATAATATTTTAATGGGTGACAAATATATACCTCTGAACAAATGGGGTGAATTGAAAAAATGTATTTATTCTTAATTTTATAAAATATTGTATTAAAAAACGTGCTATGATTTTGTCACATATTGGACTAATACTCAGATATATAGGTCTATATAGCTTCCCATCTGTTAAAACTGAAATTGTGTCTAAATTTTAGTTTATGATATATACTATCTAAGAGACTTTCTAAGTATTAAAATCATATCAGATTGACCTCGTCTCGCCAGGCATCATAATAGTCTTCTTTAGTAAATATGCTTGGTAGTTCAGTAATGGGTCTTGTCCAATCCCAGTAAGGTATTGCTATAGCACTGCCGTGTCTCTGTAATGCTTGTTCTACCTAGATAAAATTACATTTAAAAAATAAAAACATGAGTGTAACTTTAAAAAAAATCAGTGCTTGATGTTTTTATCTGATTACAAAATGATATAATAATATAAGCTGATGCATGTTTTACATTCATTCTTCTAAATTTAAAAACAAACAAAATACTTTCAATATTTTTCTTGTTTTAAGTTCATTATGAGTACTTCCTAAAAGAAAACTAGAAGTCTATCTTTTACCTGAATAGTGAAGAGTCTATGCCAGTGAGGGAAGGTAGGCATACCATGCTGACAACAAGCTACAGTCGGGTTAGCTGGGTCTGGGCAAAGATTAGGAGCACCATGAAATGAGGCTAAACTAGTCCAACCATCCTTGCTTTTGTCTAGTTGAAGATCACGCAGGGCAGCCTGAAGGCTTTGCAAGTCCCTTTCTGACAAAGAGCTCAGGTCACGTCTTATTAGGTCAGGAGTCAGATTTTCCACTGTTTGAGAACCTGTTTAAGATGATTATAACATTTATTTTTATTTTGTTTATTTTATTTTGTTTCAGTTTAGTTTTTCTTAAAATGGATCAAGAAAAAGTGTTTGTTCTTACTCTTGGCTGGAACAACAAAGACACTAGGACTAGGAATGAGACTGCTTGGCAGTTCTGTACCATTAAAACTTTTTACATTGACAACAATGCGGAAGTCATCATCTTGTCTGATGTTGTTTTCTTTAAGCTGTACAACATAAATATTCCAAATATTGTGAAATATAGAAGGTGGAGTCTTGACTTACTTGCGTTCATTTATTTGAAGGGCAGGTGGGTGCTATTATTACTGACATTTTAGTTTCAACTATTAAGTTGAAGGGTTCAGTGAATGTGCTAATGAAATTGGTGGTATTCAGTATCTCCAAAAAGGTTAAGAACCACTGGGAAAGATGATGTGGAGACAGACCTAGGTCAGCTTTGACCCTAGACATGAAAGAAGACTGCAGACAAGCCTGGGTGGGAAAAGATGGTGAAGTAGACCTAAACCCTCCATAAACCCTATGTACCGCAACAGAAACATTCAGTGTTTGTAAAAGCATGTGTTAAAGGGATGTCATCTATTTGGGATATATATATATATAGGCCATCATACATATATAGGCATAAATAGGGCCTACTACAAACATAAATATCATGATTTTATATTTATATACATAATACTGCACCTGATTTGTTATGTCATACTTATAAAGTCTGTCAAACTGCCATGGCATTTCAGCAGATCCACCAAGGATAGTAAAGTATCCAGCAGTAAAGCAAAATTTTACTTTAATTTTACATATATCAAAACTGACATAAGCAGAACTACCAAATCCTTTCAAGGAAAAACCTGTAATTTGAACACATAATAGTTGAATTATGTTTGATTAAGTTTGTTTAAAAAAACTAAGCCTAACAGAATTTTTAGTTTTAATTGAACTATATTCCTGGTTAACCTATTTATTTTCTACATTTTGAAATTCTAATACTTTGCTATTTGACAAATCAATTTTAGGAAAACTAATTTACAGGTTAATAATTTAACTTGTGTTTTTTTAAGAATAGTATAGCAAAAGTACATAGCTACCAGCAAATATTCTATCATGTTGCTGTTTTTCTTTAATAAAGGCATCTAGTTGTTGAATGTTCATGCCAACAAACTCAAGTGAATCATATTGATAATGAAAATGGCTTTCATAATCAAATGTATCTTCTGGACTTGAGTATTCTTGAGTCATTTCATTGAGGTTGTAAGGAGCACCAAAACTAAAGGGCTTGAGTGGTTCCTTCAAATTTGATGAGAAAAACATTTAAACATTGATAAAGTGTTTTTGTTCTTTGCTACTTTAACTACTTGCCCTATTCAAGTGTATGTGTTTGGAAGATTCAAAAGTTGCTTATAAATGAAATTTTGATTATGCAGTTTATGTTGGACAAGTAGCAGTAAAAAAAAAACAATCATTTTTTCATGAGAATAAGTGATGTGATAAAGCCTTGTTTTAAAATATAGCCCACCTTCATTTGTTCTAGAGCGCAGTTGACATTGTTGGGGTTATAGCCTCTGTATTTCTGTAGAGCTTGCCACACAGCCCATAATCGATCAGTATTTGAGTGGTGTACGTAAAAAGCTGGATCATAAGAAGCAAAATGCAAGTGACCAAGAGAATGCTCTTTGGTACCACCCAGCCAGGAATGCATGGCATTGTGGGTTATCTCAAACTGAATCTCAAAATCACAAAAGTCTTCTTGTTCCAAAGCAAGCACAGCTTGATTAAATAGCCATGTATTTGAGCTCCATGTTTCTCTATACCTCAGATAGTTATACTGAAAAGTAATGAAATTATTTAATAGTAGTGACACATTTTTACAAACAAAAAAATAAATAAATCAGAAATAATAAAGATTAATCTATATATTTTGTTTAGCTAACCACAACCTACCAAAACATCTCTCTTTGTTACAGAATTTATAAAGCTGATATTAGCTTTCTTCCATGGGTTTTTAACAATTTCTTCAGTATTTGGATTGTAATATACATCATCATCAATAAAATGAGGAAGTGATATGATTTTATCTGTCCAGTCCCAATATGGAATACCAACAAGAGAACCATGACGTCTTAATGCATCTTCCATTTGAACAGTGTAAAGTCTATGCCACATGGGGAAAGTGGCCATACCATGACGGCAGCAAGCATATCTGAAATATTTAAAATGGCTTAAGAAAGATGTTTAGCCTACATTTTTCAAAGTAAAAAGTGAACTTAAGAAAACAGTCAAATTAATAGTAGAAAATATTAACATTAAAATTACCTTTGATTGGCATTAGGGCTAGGACATAAGGGAGGTAAAGCATGAAAAGAAGCAATTGACTGGAATCCATCAGCTGAGCTGTCAGCTTGCAGAGATCTCATTGCATTATACAAAGATATTACTTCCCTGGAATTTAGAGAGTCAACATTTTTTCTTACAACATATGGTCTCACTTCTCCATTAGGTTTCTGTCTTTCACCTAAACAAAATGAAAATTGGTATTTTCTTTTTTTATTCACATTTACAATACAAAATGAGAAAAAGCATGAGTGTATGTGTGGGTATATATATATATATATATATATATATATATATATATATATATATATATGTATATATATATATATATAATATATATGAAAATCATATTGTGTGTACAACAGCTAACCCAAAAGTATTGAGTTCAAATACCATATTTCAGTCTTATGATAATAATGATCCTTCAAATAAATTCGCCTGTATTCTTTCTATCACAAGGTACAGACCCATGTACGATCATGAAGCTTCAATAAATAATTCTAAATATAGGTAGCAGTAGTACCCCCTTCCCCTCCCCTAACTAATGTAGTAACTAAGTGAATGTGATTCTTCTGCGGATCAGCAAAAAACGTCATTAGGCAGTGTAGACCCATATAATTATGCTCTCATGGGGAGAGGAAAATTCGGATCAATTACTTTTTTGGTAAGAAAATATGGACATTGTAGAAAATTTGCCAAAATTCAACTCCTAGAGATTTCCCTGACTTCAAATATTTCTAAATTCCCAAATTTGCACTAACCCTACTCTGCATGTTTTTGTTTCATAAAAACATCTTCAAATAAATTTGCATTTTTATTTTTGGCGAAGTAAAAAATGCATCGATGGAAATAATTTTTTACCGGGAAGGATTTCCATCATTTTTAGTTTTTGAAGTCAGTCGGCAGAAAATTTACAATTTTTTCAGCGGGAAATTGTCCTCAAACGGAAAAATAATTACATCTCTGATTCATTGTACATGGCTGAATCCACCAAGCTGGAATGTAGAGTAGACTGGGCATAGATCTGATCACTATGTCCTATTATATTGTAAGGTCACTGAAACAAGTGAATTCTACTTCACCTGCCCTATCAACGTAGTATTAAATGTAAATCACACAATATTTCATCTTAATTTTATTCAAAAACCCTTTGTAGTTACCTGTGCCTGGCTCAAAAAAAACAGTAGGTTTAGGCAAGACATCTGCACTGAGCAAGCTTCCATTCACAGCTTTTATATCAATCTTGATATCGAAGTTGGCAGCACTGTCCAGTTTGAGTCCCAAGTCTCTGACAGTATGTGTTATGTCATGTTTGTAGAGACGATCAAAGCTAAATGGCATTTCTAATTCACCACCAAGAATGGAAAAACTGCCTGCCTAAAAGTGAAAGCCAAACAATGTTCTGGTTAACATATATTCCTATTACACCCCAACATAAAATTATTAATTGCTTTTACACTGTTTTGAATTCCTTGGAAAATTTATTGGAAGAATTACCCATTTAATAGTATAATAAATTACAATAGTACAAGTGAAACACTTACTCTATGGTTACAGCTTTTTTGTTTATGTGGTCCTGATGGTACACAAATGTAAATTTCTATGATGGCAGAAAGTCCTATGTTATGTAGTAAAAATCCAGCAAACACACGACCATGTGCCTTGTTTCTCTTCAACAAATTTTCTAGTTGTGGTATGGACATGTGGTTCAACTCTAGCGCATCATACACATAATTCAACTTATTTCGATAATCAAAAGCATCAGCAGGAGAGCTGTAAATGTTAATGGATGTAAATACGTTTAAATACATTAGTAATTTAGTTTAGAAAAACATTTAACAAAAACAAAATAATAACACATAGCTGCTTTATAAGAAATAAATTAATAAAAAACATTAATCAAATTTTAGATTATGTATTATAACAAAATTATTATTTAATGCTTAAAATTTACAGTAGATAGAAAAAACCTTGTTGTAAATATACAACATTACAACTTATGGCATTTTTTGATACAAATACCTTAAAATAAAATTATTGAGTAAAATAGTAAGTTTTAAAAAGTACAAGAGGTGATACCTCAATGAGGGATTTTTAAGCTCATCAAAAGGCTTTAATGGTTTCCTCATTAGGTTTAAGGCACAATCTGCTTCATTGTAAGGCAAACCTCTGAAGCGTTGAAGTTCTTGCCAGAGAGCCCATATCCTTTTAGAAATGAAATTGGAATGTTTCAAAAGATATTCTTGAAGTTCGTGTGAAGCTTTGTTTTTAAGACAAAAGGCATAATAAAAAAGCAAACTGCCACTTATTATCAAAATATTGGTCAATTTTTTCTTTAATATTATTTGGTTCCTATTTCTAAGTTAAATATTTTTAAAAATGCATGGATTTACTAAAAATATTCTCAGTTTGAGCACCGCTCCCTCTACTTCTTCACTGCCTATGACTGTCTAGAACATTTTTTCTGTGCAATGTCCCAATTCAACAATCCGTGTAAGAAAATAAATCTATGGTAAAGTTTTACTTCAAAAACTGATTGCGAATTGTGATTATCAGTCTTTTCTTGGGACACAAATTATGTTTTTTATATGTTTGTGCGTTATTTATACATTTTAAAGAATTCCAACAGATTGGTGTCCTAATATTGCTTTAGGGAACATACTATACTTTATCAAGTAGTCCTATGTTCAGTTATCATCCAAATATGTATATACCTACGGTTGAATATGACATGATTTAAATGTTAAGATAATGTAGGACTTCTATACATGAGTATACATAGATCGAAGTGTCTGTAACAGTCTGATTTACTTCAGCTGTTATGCTTAAGCCTATGCAAATCTAAAGGAAAATGAAAACAAAAATAACTACTCACTTGTTAAACCTTAAAGAAAAAAAGTTACCTGTCTGTGTTTGAGTGGTGCAAAAAGAAAACTGGGTCAAAAGCAGAGTAGTCTAAAGAAGACAATGACAACTGAGCCCGCCCACCCAGGCGGCTATGAAGAGCATTGTGCACTATCTCAAGCTGAATTTCAAAGTCACAAAAGTTTTCCTGTTCTAAAGCTAAAAGAACTTGATCATAAAGGTCCTCATTATTAAAAAGGTCTGGCTGTGGATCTCTATTGAAATAAACAAATAAAATTATTAAACATTAGCTCTTGTATTTAATATTAGTAGTGCAAAAACTGAAATAGGATCTGTTATTACCTGGCTGTGATAGCACTACTATCTGGAATGCTACCACTAAAAAAAGGGTTACGATCAAATCTCTGCTGACGTGAGTTGAAGAAAGTAGCCTCATTAATTAGATCTGGTAGTTCCTTTATAGGTTTAGTCCAGTCCCAGTATGGTACTGCTATAGATGACCCTTTACTCAAGAGAGACTCCTCTACCTACAAATTACATTTTCAATATTTACTTCGCTTTTCTTTTGACATCTTTTTAGTTAAAGTGTACATTAAAATAGTATTTAATACAATTTAATTGAAGAAAACTGTAAAAAGTTTGAATATGAAATTGTTTAAGAGATTTGTACCTGATGGACATAATATCTGTGCCACGCCAGAAAAGTTGGCATACCATGAACACAACAACCAACTTTACGTCCATCGTACTCACAAAGGCCAGGTTTTCCATGGGAAGAAGCAATTTTTTCATACACTCCATCCTGCTGCATTGATAGGAAAGCTGATCTTAAACTTTCTATTTCAGCTTTATCAAGTTTTAAAAGATCTTTGCGGACATGTGATGTTAATGCAGCTTGATTTTGATACTCTTTGCCATACATTTTACCTGTTAACAAAATCATTATATAAAACCTAAGAAACATAAAGAAAAACAAAAACATAGGCACCTTTTACAGCAAGTTTGAAAAAAAAAACATACAATTTTGTATTTTGCACTTTCAAGAAAAATTAAGAAATATTTTTATTAAAAAATCTGCATACCGGTTCCTATATCACGAATGACAACTGGATTTTGAAAGACATCAGTACTGTAAACAGCACCCGAAAGATCAAGAACTTCATATCTTATGTAATATTTGTCATCATAATGTAGGTTTAACCATTTCAAATGCCTGGTGATTTCATACTTGTATAATCGATCATAAGCCCATTCCATTTCATTTTTATCACCCAAGATGTAAAATTCTCCTCCATGATTACAGTCCATTGCATTTCTAGATGTAAAAAATGTATGTTAATTAAACATGGAACTTCTAAGAGTTTTCAATTCAAGATAAATACTCTATAGTTGAAATACTTTAAATCCGTGAAAAAGACCATCATGAACTATCAAGGTACTAGTCTGACTAATCAAGCTATCGACTTGACAAAATGTACAGGCCTGCATATCAAAGGGTCAGCCTGACTTTTACAGTCAAATTTAGCTGATCACATTTGTAAAGGCCTACTGACTAAATGGCAAGTTAAATAAAAGGAATACTTTAAATTAAGATGAATATGTCATCTTTTACAGTCTTAAAAATAATTATTTCAAATAACCACAGAAAATTCCCTTACAATTACATAATAAAAGTAAATAGTCATAAAAAAAATTATTTGTAAAAAAAGTGAGTAAAAAAATTGAGTCAAAAATGGTCAGATTCAATTAGAAATTAAAAAAAAATGTATCCTTGCATGAAATTCTTATTCCACAAATATTTCACACATCTCATGGTTTTTAAAATGCAAAGAAAAAACTGCAAAGAAAAAAACGTTAAGAAATATAATTTAAGTTTTAAAAAAAAAAACAAATTTACCTGCAGATGTAAAATTTAACAAGAGCAGGCTGTCCTATACCATGTAACATAAAGCCGACAAAAATACGTTCTTTTGATTTAATTACGTCTAATTGCTTAACAAGCTGAGGTATTGAAAGCCCATTGAACTCCAGATTGTCATATTCATAATTTAAATTCTTTCTGTAATCAAATACCTGCAAAGAAATTTATATTAGTTTTCAATACAATTACAACTGTCAGACAAGCAAGGGTATATTAACTTCATCACACAGCTAAAGTTTACCTGTGGCAAAAATAAATGAGTAATAATACTATAAATAGCTAATAATATATAACACTTTTTTAAAAAGTTTATTTTTGTTTATTAAATGAAAATGTTAATACAATTACCTTAAAAGGAACAGAATTTTCTCGTGTAACAGCATCTGGATTTATATCTGAACTTAAACTAAAGGGTGACAAAGGATTGCGCATTTGTCCAATAGCACAGTTAGCTGTCAAGTGAGGCTTGCCACGGTATTTTTGAAGTGCCTAAATAAAGAAACATGTATAAGTCTCAATTAAAATAAGAGAACCACCCTGAATTGAGTTAATCCTTAACAAGGCTTACATTAGGTGGACTTAGCGACATGAGAAAAATCCCATGAAGGAATAATTGTGTTTGAAAAGTCAAGTCCTTTGAAGTTGACAGTTTGATACTAAAACAAAAATAAGCAGTTGTGTAACAAAGTACCGGACATTCTCAGATTACCAAAATAATTGAATTTTTTTTTATCATATCATTCAAGAGTATTTGACTTTCAATGTTGTCAGTGAAGATAACTGCTAAAGTAAAACTTAGCTTTTTCTAGTGAAGTATAAGTGTGTTGTTATTGTTTTGCACAAAAAGTTTAGGGAAACTTGTAATGTTTGCAAAAAGGGTCTTTGGATAATATCATTTGACATGGTAGAATTAGTCAATTTCTGTCTGCAAGTGCTCAGGTGAATGTCACTGCTTCTAAATCCAGTTCAAGTAATGTCCTTTCAGACTATTTATTACTCTAGTAATTCAAACTGTGCTAAACAATTATTCATAAAGACAAATTTTTAAAATTTTACTTCAAGTTAAATATCAAATTGATATACTCTTGCACAGCTAAAGAGGGTTAATACTGACTTTTAAAAAGATCGATCTCATTTTTAGAAATGTCCATTCCAAAACTAAAAACATTACAGATCTATATTTATTTTAATTAAAATGAGCCAAACACATCATGTACTGTTTTTACAAGCTTTTATTTAGTTTGCAATATCTGTTTGATAGTGGGTTTGTGGCAAATCTTGTAACTCAATGTTGACCCACTGCTAATGCAGTGATTTTGTTCAAACTTTCCAGATACGTTCCACTTCGATGACAATACAAGTCTAGTTACTTTTAAAATTTAATTAGATGTTTAATTAGTCATTAAAAATTAATCAAACAGTTTTGATACTTAGGGGAGATACAAAAAATTAAAACACTGATAGGTTACTATATTCAATAACAGAAGGGTAGATAAGTTATACTCGCTAGACCCCATCACCCTAACAGTCTGGTGAGCTGTGGTTCATGAGAATGTTTACAATGGTAGAGCTGGTTGATCTAGTGAAGTTTATCAGGGGCAGATAGTAAAGTTTTAAAATGATTTAAAACTAAGGGGAGGTAACAAAATTTAGAGCTTGCTGTCATCTGTCGGGGCAGACAATCATCTTTTAGATATCGTGAGCTACGGATGGTGTTTTAAAGCAAATATTTTTTGTTGTGTAGATGTCTTAGATTGGGAATCACTAAAATGTAGAAAACAAAGCAAATACAAAAAACTTTTATAGCAACAAGCTGTTAAATGCACTGAAAAGAGGAAAATAAAACTTGTCTGCTTTCTTTAATAAAAGCTTCAGTTGACCATGAGATCATTTTAGCAGCCAAAGCTTTTATGAAAGAAGGCAGATTAGTTTTATTTTCCTATTAACAGTGCATTTAAAAGCTAGTTGCTATAAAAAAAATTATATTTGTTTTATTTAGTGACCACGTTGGGTAAATTCATGTTCGTTAGGTCAGATGGATTAAAAAAAATTACTTACTTATAAATAATGGAATTCACATATTTGTAAATTCAGTAACTGTTTTTATACTATTATTTTAGTAGTGCTCTTTAGTAGACTCATATAGGATAGGTGAAGTAAGTTTGACTAGTAGGCTATAACTAGCTTTTGCATCATCAAAGTGAAATTATGTACATGACAAAACAGGTATCTAATAAGTAATGCTGGTATAGATAAAAATGTAACATAAGACCCTTGCACTTATTCACATTATAAAGAAAAAACGTTAGGGTTTACCTGCCAGATAGCCCATATTCTATCAGTGTTAGAATGGTGGAGGTAGAAAAGTGGATCAAATGCAGTGTACTTTAATGAAGCCATGGAATAATGTTCCTTCCCTCCTACTAAAGCATGGATGTAGTTGTGGGCTATTTCTAACTGAACTTCAAAAGAGCAAAAGTCCTCCTGTTCCAGAGCTAAAAGCACCTGTGAGAAGATTTTTTAAAGTAATAAAGTAATTATGGAGTATTGATCATCTGTTAAAGAAATTTAATATTAAGAACATTATTAATGACACATTAATGTATATTAAATTTTCCATGATAAATATTAGAACAAAACAATACCTGTTCAGCAATATCAGTGTATGATCCTACTAATGCAGGCTGGTAGAGGTCAACTCGCACAGATCTTACAGTATCTTTGTTAGCATCATCAATATGAGCACTGTAAAATTCTACTGTTAATGTCATGCAAGTTTAGAAACAAGATATTTTTACTGAAATTATTTTTTAAAACAGGAGGTAATTAATAAGATTTGTGTTAACTTTTTTAGTCTATAGGTATACATATTTAAGTTGGAGCTATACAATCATTAAAGGTGAGGTTATATGCAGTTGAAAGGTTGTACCTGAAAAAGGGGTTCTTTGTTTCTTGACCATTGTTTGGATCAACATAAGTTGAGCTATTGACAAGAGCTGGTAATGATGTCAAGGGCATGGTCCAATCCCAGTAAGGTAGACCCCCTTTGAAACCATGGCGACGTAAAGCATTTTCAGCTTGGACTGCAAGTAATCTGCAATTTTTGTTTTAAATTAGGAAAAAGAATAATGATAAATCTCATATAAAGGTGCTCTTTGTGTAGGCTAACACTTTGTTGATGACACAGTGTTCACCAACAAAGAAAACAAGTGGTCTGGTAAACATTTAAAAGTAAACTCATTAAAATTAAAAAGAAAACACATGTACCTGTGCCAGTGTGGAAAAGTGGGCATACCATGAAGGCAGCAGGCAACTTTTTTCTCTGCCTCAGGGCTAGGACACCATTTTGGAGTACCATGGAAGCGACCCAAATCCTGGAAACCTCCATGAGACTTGTCATCTTGTAAATTTGATAAAGCTTGACGAAGTTCATACACCTCATGTTCAGTTAAATGATTAACATTTTTACGTACATGAACATCAATTTTTCTCGGAATAACTGGTACTGTGGAAAATTTTAAAGCATTTTTATAAAATAGTTAACATAAAATAACAATCCAATTGTTTTAAATCAAATTCAGACTCATAATCTACCTTCAGGTGGCTTGTAGATCAATTGAATTCTTGGCAAATAACTGGTGTCTATTTTAGTTCCATCCAATTCAGCCATCTCTAAAACAATATCGTAAGGTTGGGCCCAAAATATGCCAAGGTCTTCTAAAGCAGTGGTTATTTCATGTCTGTTTGAATAAGCATTATTATTTTAACAATGATATCAATAAATTCTTTATATGAGTACATATTTTATTAAAAGCATTATAAAATGTTTTATAAAAATTCGCTTTTAATATTGTATTTTGGTACCTGTATAATCTATCAAAATTCCATGGCATTTCAGAAGGCCCACCAAGAATAGCAAACCTGCCTGCTTGATATTTCTCACCATTCATCAATTTAATATAAATTTTCACAAGAGCTACACCGCAGAAAAAGTAGAGAAAAACAATATAGACCTGTGATTAAAAACATTTTTGTGGTAGTTGTGTAATAAAAAGTAATATGTAATATTCGGGATACACATAATATATTTAAAAAGATAGATTAATGTAAAAAACAATTTAATTTTCTAAAGTAGGCCTACTATGATTAAATAAGAAATCAAAGAGACAAATAATCACCTGATTTCTTTATCCCAGAGAGAAGAATACCAACAAAAACTCTGGACTTTCCTTTCACATTAAAATTAATATAGTTATCTAATTCAAGAATGCTCATGCCACCAAAATCTAGATTATCATATTTATATTCAAGCTCATTCTCATAGTCATAGATGTTGGTTGGAACAGAATGCAAATATGTTTTCTTGTTGTTGTTGTAAGGGGAGGAGAATGAAAATGGCTTCAAAGCTTGATACACATATGACTGAGCACAATGAGCCTTGTATGGTTTCCCCCTGAAATAAATCAGTAGATTGGTACAAAGTTGATATTATACTTAAATCTGAAATTTGGTCAACCTAGATGTAATGGTACTCAAGTGATCACAGACATTCAGACAAAATTGTAAAGTCCAGTTTTTCTGACTCGATGATCCATAATAAAATCTAGATTTAGAAAATTTGCCAGATTAAGGATAGACAGTACTGATAAAAATTTTTATTTTATTTAGGTTGTTAACCTATTGACAAAAATAATATATAACCGCCAATAGCAGTACTGGTTGCCATGGAAACCACAAACAGGTGAACTTTGTTCCCATAAGAGATTTTTAAAAGTTTATGAAAGATGTAGATTTCTCAAACCAAAATATAGATTTCTACGTTTATTCATTGCGATAGCTCGTACTCAATTTTTAATACAAAATTTTATGTACATTTATGTGCAAAAATTAGGGGTTGGTGCTACATAAATATCAATATTTCCTAGAGTACTGTCGTAAACCTAATGTAAACGTAGTTTTGTAGATGGTATAATGCTGAATGCTAGTGGAATATTTCAGTCTTGTATGATAAAAGGATTTAAAAACCTTAGCGATTTGAATGTTGAATTTTGAGTAAAAAAAGGCAAGTTGAGAAAACATGAAAAGAAGGGCGTGTGCGTTTCCTCTTATAGAAAACAGAAAAAACAGTCTTGTTATGTGTGGAAGCACGCATTGACTCATGTTGTAAGTTTTAGACAGATTGTTCTATGTAAGCAGAAAATATGTTTACAACAGGTTATGAATTAATGAGTATTAAGTATTACACATCCTATCAATCGAGCGGTATTCTCAGAACAGCTATCATCAAACCAGACTAAGTTTTGTTTGTTAGGCGGTCTTCTCACTTCATTACAATGTCTATCCATACTTAAATTGTAGCTTACACAAGTTTATTGCCTTTTGATAATAGCCTACAACACAATCCTGGGTACAGCGCTTGTGGCTAGACATGCCCCCATCCCACACCTCCCCACCGCTGGATCCAATGAGACATAGATTACTGATGTTTGTTGAACTGTGAATAACACATCCGTGTAGATAGGGTCAAGCACTATGTTTCCGTAAAATGAATGCTTATCAGCTATCCCATCTAGTATTTACATTAGTCGATAGCAAACCCTATACGGAGTGAAGGGCATATGTCGTATACAGTCCGGTGTAAAGCCTGATGAACGCGTTCAAGCCTAACACAGCATGCCATAACAAGATTATAAACCGGCGGTTGGTTGAATGGCGAGAAGGGGACGAGGGGGGTAAAGGGGATGGACAGTACATTCTTCAAACTGATAGACATGTCCATGACGCATTGTTTCAGCTTAGTATAAAGTGTACTAAACAGTGTTTAATAGTGTTCCAATGACAATTAACAGTACACTTCTTTGCAAAGTTTCAATTATTAACCTAAATGTATAATTTTAAAACAACAAATAGAAGAGTATAAGGTAAACAAATGAAGACAGGCAATTGTTTTGTTTATCTAGAAACAAGAAGCTGCCTAGCACACGTGGTTAGTTGCAACCTATTGAGAATTATTTTGATTTACTGTACTATAATATGATTGGTCAAATGTATTAATGAATCTCTTCCCATTCATTATTTTTACGCGGATGCCCGTATATGGAGTTTGACATCAAATTTTATTTAGAAGAAAACCACGTTTTTCCCACTTATATTTAGAACAAAAGAAAAGGTAACTACACCAGTGTGTACACAAGTGCTTGGCCGATAGATTGCAGTAGAGTTTATGGTGCCTCGCGGGTAATAAATGATGTAACACCCGCTTAGACATTGAAATAAAATAACAGTCCACCCAGCTCTGACTCATGTTAGGGAAAGTAAAGTTGGCTTGGTAAACAGGTGAACTCTACTACACCTGTCCTATTGACTATCAGGTCTAAAAGGATATATTTACTTTCTTACTATACTTATAATAAAGGCATGGTATGGTTGTGTGGTATAGTGCTCAAATGCTTATTCAGAAGTCTTGTGTTTGGACCTTGGTCAGTACTTGAGTCTGCAGGACATTTATGAGTCCACAAACCTTGGTGGGTACCTGACTCACATTAGGGAAAGTAAAGGCACGGCCATCTCTTCATATGCCGATGACAAGTAACTTATGAACTCTACTTCATATGCCCTACAGATCATTAGATCTGAAAGGGGAGCTTTACTTACTTTTTATATCTATAATTTAAATCACCTTCTGGATGCAGAAACTATACATGCACATATAATCTCAGAAAAAAAGCAGAGATTTTCAATCTCAGCCAATGAAAGGATAGTGCCCTAAGTTCTATGCCCAGCTGCATTTACTTTTCAAGACTAGAGTCAGGTAGCCATCCATCAGAGCTAAACCAAACTCATGACTTTTGTGTAAGTAGTTTTGCACTTTACAGCGCTATTGCATGGTTTTAGTTGACCCTGCAGTTTATTCAAAGCTGTTCAAAATATATCAAAACAAAAGGTGCCAAGTGCATGTAGACCTTAATTTTTACCTAAGCTGTTGAAGTGCTGTCCAAATAGCCCATATTCTATCAACATTGCTATGATGAAGATAAAAAATTGGATCAAAAGCACTGTAGGACAAAGATGAAAGGCCATAGGTAGAGTTTCCTCCAACAAGAGCATGGATCAAATTGTGGGCCACTTCAAACTGCACCTGATACAATGTTGCAAATATAAATAGATTACACTTTTATGTGTTCTATTATTATACAAATAGAAGCATAAGTATGTAGTAATGTCTTAGTTTTCTGAGCCTGTTAATCAATCTTATATAGGTTAAATATAGGTCTAATTTGTAGAAAATATATGTGAAAAAAAGAATTTTAGATCTATATTCTCAGACAACTTTTCAGAAAAATTATAAAAAATAAACTACCTCAAAATCACAAAAATTATCTTGCTCCAGTGCTAGAAGAAAAGCATCAAATAACTCAGTGTGATCTCCCCACTCTGGGGTTTGAGTTAGATCATCAAGGACATTACGCTGTGTGTAAGTATTATTTCCTAAGAAAGCTATTTCTGCTTTGTAAAAGGGATTATTTACGTTAGAATAGCTGAAAAAAAAAAGAAAAACTTAGTATTTGAAGTCAAACTGTTTTTAGAGAAAATAGCAAGTAATAAAAGTCTTAAAAACATTTCACTTCAAAGCAAGTTTAACTTAAAATGCATGCTTTGATTCATTGCATCATTAAAGGTTATTCTCTATCATTGTAATATTTATTCCTTACTCTAATTTTTATGTTGTGTACAAAATACAAGGAACTATTAATGATAATAATTAGAGTCTGACAGTAAAATGCTTTTAAAAAAGTGTTTTTTGTTAGACTGTTCTTCGAAAAAAAAAAGGTTGAATCTTGTCAAATTCTTACTTAACACACTTACGTAACTGGATGTTGAAAAGTCATTTCATTTGCTAGATCCGGAACTTTAGTATTTGGTTTAATCCAATCCCAGTATGGCATTCCTATAACTGAGCCTCTTTTACGAAGAGCATCTTCGACCTGTAAGATAATTTTAGCAAAATAAAACTTGAAAAAGTAGGTATACTCTTGCGTTTTCTTACTCTTCTAAATATTCAATTATCAGTGATGTACTGCCACCTAAAAAAGAAATTTTTCCAGGTTTTTAAAACATTTCGCAGTTGTTTTTTTAACAATAACGAAAATTAAAAAACAATCTGATCCTGATACATTGCTTTAATCAAATTACAATTAAAGCCAACTGTCTTATCCTTTTTAAAAATCTTATAGTGCATTAATCAATCATCTCTTTCACTTTTGTCACATAAAATTTTAAATTTATAAAATTTTTGACAAAACAGAAAAAAGAGATTGGATTGGCATCAAAATTTTCCAGCTTTTTTTCATAAAATGTAATCGGCAGTGAAATATCAAGAGATTTTTTCTCAAATAAAAAAGCTTCCATAAAAAAGCAGGTAAGTTAAATCTCTGAATTATACAAAGGTTTTAACTATAAACAAAACAGTTCAATTTGCTGCGATTCATTATTCCACCCTATTTAATGAATGTTCTTAGTGATTCTAGATCAATTTAGAATTCCAGGATTTTTGTTTTATCTTTATTATTTTTATGAATATATTAGCCATCAGCTCAGAACAAAATCTGAATGTACAAGGTGCTGCACCTTGCAACTTTTAGGGCAGTAAAGGTTAATCTGTAGTAATAACTTAAGTAGCTTTTCTGAGTTGTAAATTAATACTTTCCAGTAGCTTGGGAAGGGTAACCCTTGAACCTATAAAAACAAATTGGCATGTTAATTTACAGCCATGGGAGATAATGCTCTTGTGTTGCTTCATATCTTTCATATCTACAGTTTCTTAAAATTTTCATTTAATTTCTACCTGCACAACAAGCAGCCTATGCCAATGAGGGAAGGTTGGCATTCCATGTATACAACAAGCCATTCGATTCTTGGCAATTGGGAAAGGGCATTTTCCCGGGTCTCCGTGGAATTCTGCAATAGCTTGGTATCCATCAACACTTTGATCTTTCTAATGAAAAAAGAGAAGTTTTTGAAAAATTGAATTGTTATTTTTCAAGAATTAAATGCTATTTATAAAATCAATATGATTGTAGTGAAAAACATTTGAAACAATGCCAGCAAAATGGTCGACAATTCCTGTTTTTTATTTAAATAAATATTCAATAAAAGCAGCAGTATCTTACAAATTCTAATCTAATAATAATAATGACTATTAATTTATTTATTAATTTTCATACTTATTCATAATAGTAATACTTAGTCTAGAGTCTAGACTAGGTCTTTTATTCTCTAGCTACTTAGCTACTCTAGCTAGATCCTAGTGGCTGGCCTAACTAACTTACTAAAAGTATTAGAACTAATTTACTAAGCTAACTTAGTAACTTTAGCTAGATCTAGTAATCTAGTCACTAGCTAGGTAAAAGATTACTCTTTCTAATCCAATAAAAAAATCCATAGTTAAGTTAGTAGTCCAGAGGATATATTCTGGGATTCTACATCTAGAGTCTAGAATAGTCTAGATTTAACTTATAAATGAAAAATATATTGGTAATCTATCGTTTTAGGTACGTAAAATGAAAAACAGGTGACTCATTTTTAATAATTATTTCACATTTTGTTTCCTTGTTTCATTTATGTACCTGTTTTTAAACAATTAAATGGTAATCTATCGTTTTAGGTACTTAAAATTGCCCGCGGCTAGTAATGTACAAAAAAGTTACCTCATTGTCAAGGCTTTAATAGAAGTATAGTGTGGTATATTTGTGTCAAATATGACAGATGAATGATAAACCTATAATAATACTAGACGCTGGCGATTTTACGTACCTAAAACGATAGATTACCTCCAATATATTTTACTAGGCCCATATTTAAAATTATAATACTTTTTACTAATATTATTTAAATAATCATCTGGACTCCTAGGACCTAGATCATGGGTTCCCAAACTGGGGGGTCGCCAACTGGTATCCTAAATCATAGCAATGAAAAAAAAAATTTTTTTAGAAGAATCTCTGAAATTCGGTTTTATTAACATCAATGGAAATTAAATAGAGAAGAAACAATTATGACAGTGCAACGTTGTTCTCAGTCATGAATCTATCTAACTTACAAAACTAAAATGTCATTTTGAGACGAGTCATTCAAAAAAACACCAAAAAAGATTTGAAGTTCATTCTTCCGCACAAAGCTAGATGCAAATGTCTGATACTTGATCGGAGAGGAAGTATTCACCAAGGAAACAAAGCATTTGTGCAAGCAATATATGAAGTTGCATCAGAAATTGCCTAGCAAAAACACCTCACACAATAGAAGAAAATCTCATCAAACCCTGCATGTTGAAGCTGGTGATACTTTTGATTAGGAATTCCAGTACAGTAAAGATGCAACAAATATCTAAGTCTAATCAGCGACCACTTTTAGACATGGCCGTAAATGTTAACGAACAAATTTTGAGTGAAATCAAACTTTCACCATTGTTTGTGAATCGTGTTTTTGAATAGAAAGATGAAATCAAGCTGTTCTTGGAAGTGCAAAGGAAACAAGACCTTTTAATATACTTCAAGGACAAATAGTGGTAGGACAGAGTATCACACCTAGCAGATATATTTGAACAACATAAGCTTAACCTGAAGCTTCAGGGAAAGTGAACAAATATTATCCCTTTTTGTGATAATCTCAGGGCATTTTTATCAAAACTGAAAAATTGGCAAGAAAAATAAATCTTGGACATAATGCCATGATTGAGAAACTCTGCTTTATGGTAGACTAGGCATACTGCCTAGCTTCGCTTAGGTTTTTAAAAAACATTTGAGAATTTGAATACTTAATTATTTAGCGATGGATTGGGTGTGGAGGGCTTTAATAAGTTGAATTTAAACAGTAATGCTAACTTTAGAAAAAACATGTTTTTGTTCGTAATTTAAATACAGTTCAAAGAGAATTTTTGGAAAGTACGCAATGTATAACTAAAATGGAATTAGAACTACACAGGTTTCATGAACATTATATCTCATAGTTTATATTACATTGCCTTTTGAAATTAATTCATTAATTTATTTAGGATACTTAACTAAATTAACAACTTAATTTTGTACTAAAACAAATGCTATACTTCGTCATTTTCTGTTTCTGTTTAAAATAGTATACAATTATTTGAAAAATAATAATTTTAAAAACGTTACCTCCCTTGAAAACTGAACGTATGACGTATGTCATTGTTTACTTATATTGTTTGCTTATATAAGAAATTATGTTATATGAACATATTTAACGACTATAATGGCTGTTTCCGACGGGAATAAAGTTTTTTTTGTTACCCTCCAGGGTCGGTCTACGACGTCACATAATATGAAGGGGATCGTTCGTCAATTTATTTATATATATATATATCTCATATAATGAGAATTTCACTCAAGACCATCTTTTAGCCCTCGTCGAGGGCTTTGAGTCTGACCAACAGCTTTTCCATACGGCCTAGTCATCTATAGTAGTGTATGCAAAAACTTAGCATGATGTACAGACATTAAGTAACCTAAAAATTGTGTTAAAATTTCCCTGTTTTTCCCATAAAATACAAAGATTATATAGGGAAATACAACTGGTCAGTTTTGACCGCTTTACGAAGTTTTCCCAGATATGCCGTGTTTTTTATGACACCCCTAGGTGTTCTTCTACCACCTCACAAAATATCAAGGGGGGTCGTCGGAGGAAATTATTTTTCCTAATAGAGCTCATATAAAGAGAATTTCACTCGCGGTCACTTTTTAGCCCTCGTCGAGGGCTTTGAGTGTAACCGACAGTTTTCCTTAAAGGTCAAGCCATTAACCCAGGAGCATGCAAAAAATTAGCCAGATATACTGAGCTTAAGTACCCTAAAGTCTGCGTTGAAATGACCCTCTGTTTTTCCCATAAAATACAAAGATTATATAGGGAAATACAACTGGTCAGTTTTGACCGCTTTACGAAGTTTTCCCAGATATGCCGAGTTTTTTGTGACACCCCTAGGTGTTCTTCTACCACCTCACAAAATATCAAGGGGGGTCGTCGGAGGAAATTTTTTTTCGTAATAGAGCTCATATAAAGAGAATTTCACTCGCGGTCACTTTTTAGCCCTCGTCGAGGGCTTTGAGTGTAACCGACAGTTTTCCCTAAAGGTCAAGCCATTGACCTATGAGCATGCAAAAAATTAGCCAGATATACTGAGCTTAAGTACCCTAAAGTCTGCGTTGAAATGACCCTCTGTTTTTCCCATAAAATACAAAGATTATATAGGGAAATACAACTGGTCAGTTTTGACCGCTTTACGAAGTTTTCCCAGATATGCCGAGTTTTTTGTGACACCCCTAGGTGTTCTTCTACCACCTCACAAAATATCAAGGGGGGTCGTCGGAGGAAATTTTTTTTCGTAATAGAGCTCATATAAAGAGAATTTCACTCGCGGTCACTTTTTAGCCCTCGTCGAGGGCTTTGAGTGTAACCGACAGTTTTCCCTAAAGGTCAAGCCATTGACCTATGAGCATGCGAAAAAATTAGCCAGATATACTGAGCTTAAGTACCCTAAAGTCTGCGTTGAAATGACCCTCTGTTTTTCCCATAAAATACAAAGATTATATAGGGAAATACAACTGGTCAGTTTTGACCGCTTTACGAAGTTTTCCCAGATATGCCGAGTTTTTTGTGACACCCCTAGGTGTTCTTCTACCACCTCACAAAATATCAAGGGGGGTCGTCGGAGGAAATTTTTTTTCTTAATAGAGCTCATATAAAGAGAATTTCACTCGCGGTCACGTTTTAGCCCTCGTCGAGGGCTTTGAGTGTAACCGACAGTTTTCCCTAAAGGCCAAGCCATTGACCTAGGAGCATGCAAAAAATTAGCCAGATATACTGAGCTTAAGTACCCTAAAGTCTGCGTTGAAATGACCCTCTTTTTTTCCCATAAAATACAAAGATTATATAGGGAAATACAACTGGTCAGTTTTGACCACTTTACGAAGTTTTCCCAGATATGCCGAGTTTTTTGTGACACCCCTAGGTGTTCTTCTACCACCTCACAAAATATCAAGGGGGGTCGTCGGAGGAAATTTTTTTTCGTAATAGAGCTCATATAAAGAGAATTTCACTCGCGGTCACTTTTTAGCCCTCGTCGAGTGCTTTGAGTGTAACCGACAGTTTTCCCTAAAGGTCAAGCCATTGATCTAGGAGCATGCAAAAAATTAGCCAGATATACTGAGCTTAAGTACCCTAAAGTCTGCGTTGAAATGACCCTCTGTTTTTCCCATAAAATACAAAGATTATATAGGGAAATACAACTGGTCAGTTTTGACCGCTTTACGAAGTTTTCCCAGATATGCCGAGTTTTTTGTGACACCCTTAGGTGTTCTTCTACCACCTCACAAAATATCAAGGGGGGTCGTCGGAGGAAATTATTTTTCCTAATAGAGCTCATATAAAGAGAATTTCACTCGCGGTCACTTTTTAGCCCTCGTCGAGGGCTTTGAGTGTGACCGACAGTTTTCCCTAAAGGCCAAGCCATTGACCTAGGAGCATGCAAAAAATTAGCCAGATATACTGAGCTTAAGTACCCTAAAGTCTGCGTTGAAATGACCCTCTTTTTTTCCCAGAAAATACAAAGATTATATAGGGAAATACAACTGGTCAGTTTTGACCGCTTTACGAAGTTTTCCCAGATATGCCGAGTTTTTTGTGACACCCCTAGGTGTTCTTCTACCACCTCACAAAATATCAAGGGGGGTCGTCGGAGGAAATTTTTTTTCGTAATAGAGCTCATATAAAGAGAATTTCACTCGCGGTCACTTTTTAGCCCTCGTCGAGGGCTTTGAGTGTAACCGACAGTTTTCCCTAAAGGTCAAGCCATTGTTCTAGGAGCATGCAAAAAATTAGCCAGATATACTGAGCTTAAGTACCCTATAGTCTGCGTTGAAATGACCCTCTTTTTTTCCCATAAAATACAAAGATTATATAGGGAAATACAACTGGTCAGTTTTG